GTAAGACTGTTTTCTAATTTTACGCCTGGATGCAGAATAGGAGGGGGAGAATTAAATTTTAGATTTAGCTAAATAATATACTTTCATATTTTTGGTAGGTACATTATCTAATATATAAACTGGTGTCACAGTGTTAGTTTCCCCATACTTCTACGAAATGGTTTCATTTTAATAAAATTTTATGTGCATACTCGGTAGGTCTGACAAATGGCTGTTATCTATTTGTTATACCCTAACTCATAAGGGTGGCCCATGTCATTTTTTAACAGTACTTCTATTTTTTATACAGCATTAAAAATACATATAAACCTAAACTTTCATCTTTCTACCACCAATCCCAATTTTTATAGCGTATATTACGGGGTCTATCATGACTTTTCCCCACTATGATTTTTTTTTAAGTGCGACAAATAATAGAACCTGCTAAATTAGAACATTGTCTTTTTTTATCTATATCACTGTTTTTTGCTTTGCAAAATCGGCAAGTCACAGAAGCTTTTAAAATGTATGTATCCGTGTTAAAAACCTGTTGTTCAATTAAGGTTATCTTTTCAATTACGTAGGGTATAGATGACAGGCGAGGATAATCTTTTCAACGGATAGGCGGTACATCCGCTAACGACGCTGAAAAATGAAACGCATAGGCCATTGAGGCATATTCATTAATCCTATAATGCGAAATGTACAATGTCGGGATGGGCGAGGAAGGTCGTAACTATTGATGTATTGGCGATGGATTCTGTTTTGTATTCAGCAATTCAAATCATATGATTTAGCGAATAGTAATCAATCAAATACCACTCTCGACGTAGTGAGTCGGGAGTTTTTCAAAAACTTCCACAATTTTCTTATAAGGATATTTACGATATACTTGATATTTATTTGGTTACATTACACTATTTGATTTGTGTAATACAAGTTTCATTATATTACAATACAATTAGATTCTGCCATGAAGCAGCAATATGTATATAGGTGCTTCATTATATAACGCCGATTTTTGTTTTGTGGTTATATGGACCACAAGTTAAGACTTGGTATGCCCATTTAGATAAAATGTCGGTAACATCTGTACTATATGTAAATAAAATCTACCTTACGGCAATAATTAAGATCTGTTGTAGTTTCGTAATAAGGTAACAAACAGACATACTTCTCATTTGTATTATTATTACAGTATGTATATCAGTTCCAATTGCGAACTGTACAACTTAGCTTGTATCTGCATCTCTCAAATGACGATCATCTGTACTTCGGAAATCGAAAACATTTGAAATGTTAAATCAACATATATTGACTTTATCGCTGGCCCTCACAAATTAGTCTGCGTCACATTTTCTCCGTTTTTTTTTCATTACAACTCCGCTCCCATTGGCAATCATCATCATCAATCATCAATTTTCCTTATAAATGTACTAACTAACACTAAAAGTATTTTCAAAATCAGTAATACTAAAATTACCCTGAACATCTAACCTCACAAACTTTCCTCAGGATTGATCCCACATAAGTAGTTTTATGTACAATATCGTACTGTAATATCCATTGTAATACGGCTTTTAATTTTACATATTATTTTTATATTTGGCAGGTCGATAACTTGTTTCAAAGTTAAAATTATTTTACCATATTAGGTTAATTTTAGATTTTTACGTATGTCATATTTTTTTATCACTGTCTCTACCAGCATGGCTAGCCTACTTCAGTTGAGATGCACATGAAACTCAAATAGTACATTTTTATGTATTTATTATTTTTTATAAATCAGTACCCATAAATAATATAATAAAGCGCTCAAATACTGTATATATCTAACAGATTTAAAATACCGAAAATCTCTTGTCTGAGAAACTAACGTCGTGATCATCTCCCAAATAATCAAAATTTTGAAATTATTTAAATGTAGATTAATATATAACATATTTTTCTTCGTTGTTAGTGATATATAAATGTTTGTTTTATCTGAATGGCAAATGAAGACTGATATGTCCGCTATAAAATACAACCTACATGGGCAGTGGGCAACCACTGTAGTCTTTTGCCTACGGATGTGTAGGCAACCTTGGGCGAGATGAGCGTCTTGGAGCGCGTGCTGTGTCCTTTGACACAAATGCGGATGCGCTCAATTGACGCGGCGGCCGTTATCGAACCGCGCTAAACACAACGCAAGGCTGCATTCGCGCATTTTTAACATAATACCATATATATATATATATATATGGTATTATGTTAAAAATGCGGTTTTATATATGTCCCCATATTATAACAAAATCTACAATAGGTTAGGTTATGATATGGTGGCGTCTCACTGTCGGTCTTCTCCCATAAAATAATTCAGATCTATCTCTTTAGGGACCATCCATAAATGACGACACATGAGGTGATAAATGTCGACCAAATGTAACAGAATCTAATATTTACTATTTAATTTATTTAAGTATTAAAACACGTTTTTTAACTATTAGAAATTAATTTTTATATTTTAAAGTTATATGTATAATAATAAGGTTTAATTTGTTTTGTTAACGAGATTAAACTCGGTTCACTTGTGTAAAATTGGACTATATGTGACGTCACACTAGAAATGTGACCACTAATGGCGAGGACTAGGGAATATTGAACAAATTATGAAATCCGTATTATCGGTAATTTATTGCTTGGTTATGGGTTTTTAATTCTAGATTCTTTCTCTTGCGGTCCGGTTTAGTGTTTGCTTATCGGCTCTTACGTAATTCTGAAAATGTTACTAATTTAAAAAAATATGGTTAAAAATTACATATGAAAATAAATCATTTTGTTTTAGCTCTCTTAAAAATGAGTATATTAAAATACATGACGATGCATTTTCCAACCTAGGTAGAGTTGTGTCTAACTCAACTCCACTACTAACTATTGTGATAGTGCTTGTGTATTAATGCAAATGTGCCTATACACAAAACTACCAAATTTAAGGATTAAATTGAAGCAAAAAGGGTGGCTTGACATTTTTTCCCATCACAATAGTATATACAATACAGGAATAAAATTGCTGGAATCCATATAAGTATGCAGATAATACAAACGAATTCCATTTAAATTTTGTTAGATTAGAAATTTAATTTTTGGAATAAAATATAGTTCTCCAATTACGATTTTTTAAGATGACATTAGAGATTTATGAGTTATATTCGAGATGGTAGTTTACCATCTAGTTTAATTTGTACCCAGTTAAACTTTCTAATCTACACCAATCAGCAAATTTCAATAAGTAATGGTAAGTGCTATTTAACTGAGTAACAGATTTATGTGATGCTATATAATCTTCCAAATTGTCTTTATTTTTTTAAGTTAATTGCATTGAAACTCATAGCTAATGCATTTGATATTTAGTTTCTCATATTTTAGGTACTGTTCCCTACTCCTATTGATACCTACATTAAAACTATAGTTGACCTACAGTCACTGCAGGAACATTATCATGAGGGATAAGCACCATATCTAGTAAAATGCTTTAAATTTGGAAGAATAAGGTATAAAAGATACATTTTTCCATGTAATTGCAATGGCAATACTAGCTGACAGCATCATGATGGAAGCAGTAAACATCACCTATACACTTGAACAGCACTACAGATACTACATTATCATGTTATGACTTGTGTATACCACTCATTCATCACCACAAGGACTCCCTGTCCAATCTGCACCCTATATCCAAAAACACAGCTGACAAAGCAAGCTGAAATATGTGAGAATGAGATACCGACAACATTTTACCACACAAAAAACATTTTAGTCATATCTGGACCAATATCAGCCTGTTAGGGACCTGATATTTTATTGTGGTTAATTAGTTTATGTTAGATTAGAATAATTATTATGGGAATTCCCAAAAACAGAAGTTTGTCCAACATAATATATATATAAGAATTGAGTTCTTATTCATATGCAACTATTATATTTAAAAATATATTAGTAAATTCTAACAATATACAATAATTTATAGAAAACTATGAACAACTGAATTTAGTCATAGAAAAATATTATTAAGTACATAGAAAAATATTAGTATGTATCAAAATTATTTGGAAGATTTAATAAATTAACGACGATTATAATAAACGATAAAGTTAATGGAAATATTAGGCAATATTTTTCTTTCTCTATTTATAACCTTTACTATATTTCTATTTCTAAAAAGCCGCTAAGTTCAATTTCATAGCAATTCAATAGATTGTTGAATTAAAAGTAACTCATAGACGGTTAATTTTTTTTTAATTGAAATGTAGTTTTATTACTTGTTATTAATAAACTTATGACAGCAATATCTATGGATGAAATTATATTAAAACTCCAGAAATCTTCATAAATAAGAAATTTAATACTGGGGCGTGGTCTTCTTCTTAAAAAAATCAAGGAAATACAGTTAAGTAGAACTACCAACGGCACCAATATGTATAGCAGGCCAGTCATAAATTATCTACCTAAATATATCTTTTTCTAGCTAACTAACAATACAATTAAATTAAATAAAGATACTTACGTCAAGAGATTCCTTAGACGCCATGTTTCACACACAAAAAGTGACAAACAATTTGACGTATCTTGAAAATCGATACAAACAACATATTGTTTTGTGATCGGATATCTATAAAATTGTAAATGTATAAGAAAAAAATCGAATAAATTTGGATATTTTTATATAATTGTATTATAAGTTTAAAGTTTTAGATATTTAATCATAAATCATAGGCATTTATAACTTACGAGATTTATTACAAACCACGCGCTTTTTTCCTCTGTTCGAAAGTATTGGAATTTGCTATATATAGCTCTGTATAAATAATACATCCCTTACAATCGATAAAACTTTAGTTTACCTTCCTTTAGAATATAGTATTGAGCATGTAACTTCTTAGTTCCGTAAAGATAAAGAATTATTTTTATTTTTGAACGAAACTTACACGTATATGTCAGTACAACGTCATTCCTTGTGTCACTACATCGAAGATTATTATTATTTCAGTTTATTGTACTGTGGAATTCTATAATTGAATTGAAGTAATAATATTTTCATTGGTTTTGTTTCGGTAATTTGGATTTGGATTAGTCAATATAGTGTTGTCTTGATCCACATACACAATACTTTTTTATTGACGGGAAACTTGAACATTTTTTTTATATAGTTAGTGTAATTTGGGCTTTCTTTAATTAATTCACTTAGTCGGTCGGCGTTATAGGCAATCGTCAAGAGTTTTTGCAGGTTTTCTGGACTATCGGCTGTAATTTTTCAGTGTAGTACTGTAATCGTCATTCTTTCCTCTTTACTTTGTGACGGATATATCAAATGATATAAAATTATCCTATGTATTTTATTATCTCATAATTAAGTGATCAGTATGAGGATAAGAAGGCTGTCAGCATTCTTTTGGGCAACATGTTTAATTGCATTTGTTTTTATACTTTATGTTGTGACTGACCTGAGCTTTAAATTGCCTAATATTAAACCTGCAATTCAAGAACTTGACGAGGTAAATAAATGTATTCTATTTTAAAAATATATTAGGGACAGGTTGTTTATCTATACATCTATTCTATACATATAAATAAAATTGGATTGTCTGTTTGTAATATTGAAATAATTCCTTTTTACTACATGCATATGAATATAAATATGGTACATACACCAAAATAACATTTTTTTATCAATTTTGTCTGTCTGTCTGTCTATCTGTTCCTTCCGGCACAGTACTAACCAGTAATTCGATATTATATACCTTATTAAATACCTTGTCTTTTTTTTAACTAAGCAGATGAGCAGATTTTAATGAGATTTAATTTTTTTATTTATTTATTCATTTATTTCAGGCAACTAGGCCCATATTATAAATACCTTATAGACTAACATACATGTAATATAATATTTAAAAACCAAAAATGTGATAATAAATTTATTTATTTAAAAAAACTGTACTTAAGTGAAAAAACTTACATAGTTACATTGTTTATTTATTATTTTTCTGTAGTAAAAATATTTTCCATTTGTTTATGTTACTTTGATACACCCCTCACAATATATATTTTTTTTATATACATTATAGAGTAGGTGGTCAACATTTGAATCCAAGTTGCGGCGTTTGGAGAATGAATTATCACAACACAATGCTGTGGTTGGAGAAATAAAACAGGTGATGGACCAGATTTCTGACCAGTCTCAGGTCTACCATCCACCACAGAACCGGCCTAAAGATGAGAAGAAACAGAACAAATTAAGAGATTACAAAGCAGTGGTTGACGGTCATAAAGGACTACATGTAAAATTTAATGAATCATCATGTCCTACAAAATTTGTACCCAAGGCTGATATCCAGGTGAGCAATAGTTTCATAATCTTATTGTCATAACTTTGGTATCTTTTAGATTCTTCTTCTTCAATGATTCCTCAAGGTTGAGGGTTGTAATCGCCAGGTATGCTTCTTCCAACGAAATCTCTCCAGGCATCTTTATCCTGTGCCAAGTGGTCAGCCGACTGCATATCTTATAGTTTATGTAATTGGAATAATAAATGAGCTGACCCCTCATACATTTCCATTCTGAAAGGTTATGTTATACCTCTATATACAGTGATTTCACTGCCATAATTCACCTTGCAACCTAAACACAGCTTACAAATCAAGCTCTTTGACATCTGAAATTAGTGAGATAAAGGTATACATGTAGAAAAAAAGCTGTCCCTTAGACTACTTACCTTGTAAGTAGTTTAAAGGTACAGTCTACCAGAGGATCTTAATCTTTTAGTTTCAACTTCATAATTGAGACAATATATTTTTATTTAATTTCAGTGTTAACATCGAGGTTGTGTTTAACCACAAACATTTAGTTATTTTAGATTTTAAATAAATCTAAAATAACTAAATGTTTGTGGTTTTCAAACATCACCATCAAAGTTTTTTAATTATTAAGATATTGTATGAATGAATAAAATAATTTGTATGTGGATTAATATTTGTTATGAAATTTTAAGAAATTGCACACAATATGGTTTGCAGATGTTGTCAATGTATGATAGGATGACATTTGAAGACAAAGACGGAGGTGTATGGAAACAAGGCTGGAATATAGAATATAAGGAAGACCAGTGGAATAATAAGAATAAACTCAAAGTATTCATTGTACCACATTCACACAATGATCCTGGTAAGTCATGACATCTACAAATATGAACCAAATCAGACATCTACAAATATAAAGTAACCAATGAGACTGAGAGACCTTCTTTATTATATTTTGTTTTATATTTCCTCTTTAATATAATAGTAGTTTTAAATTATAATTAAATTCTATTCTATAAATAAATAAATCAAGGGTCTCAGTGGTCTGGTGCTTTAGCACACTTGCTGAATATTGAAGAATTTAATATGAAATTTATATTTATTAGTATAATTGTTTTTATTGGTCTCAATAATTTCTATGCATTTACACTAAAAGTATTTGCATGTTGTGTTTAATATGTCATAGTATTTAAAACTTAGTTAGGGCCTAGATAGCTCTATATGAATTGTACTGGGTTATTATTATTATAAATATCATAATATAGAGACCCTTTATTTTGGTAACATGCTCAAATTATTACTCATAATAACCCATGTCTGATGTAATCTATGGCAAATTCAAGAAGTGACTAAGACAGTGTAATAGCTTTTAGCTAGTAATTAAAATCAGATGGTAAAATGTAATACTGAACAATTATCTAGTTTTCTCCTGATTTTTAGTAATATATTATTATGATATAAAAGACATGTATAATTTAGTGAAAAGTGCTCACACATAAAAGAGAACTTTCTTAATATTTGTTTATTGTTTGTCAAAATTGATCAACAATATTGCAGGATGGATCAAGACATTCGAGAATTATTACAAATCACAAACAAAGGCAATATTCCAAAACATGGTAGAGAAACTGCCGGAAGGTGTTGGCAGGAAATTTATTTGGGCGGAAATCAGTTACCTGTCATTATGGTGGAGCTTGGACGCGTCTGATAAGGACAAAGTAGTTTTTAAAAAGTTAGTATTTCACATAGTACATACCTATAATATCTAACATGAATGGATAGATACAAATATTCTTAGATATTACTAAAGTTACTGTTAATAAATAATAAATATTTCGAATTTGTACCAATCATAATGTGTAAGAAATTTTGCTGTTAAACTCTAAATAATTAATATAATATTTATTATTTAATGTATTTTGTACTTAACATGAATGACATTAGTAGATCAGTATCACAGATTTGACATTTGTGAATTTATTCCAGTTAAGTACTATATTGAATATAGTTTATGTTTATTAAAATAATTATAGTCTGGCTTTTAACTCGATACACCAAAATTACTGATAAATATGCCAAAATGTAAATCAAGAGCATGACTTCTCGGACAAAAACATCAAATCATTTACATTTAATCAACTCCTGTAAAAGTGTGTTTCTTTCATTATACTTCTAATTTTAAAGCACATAAATAATTGTGAATATATTTTTTTCAGTTTACTAAAGTCAGGCCAGCTAGAAATTGTTACTGGTGGATGGGTAATGAATGATGAGTCTAGCTCACATTGGTTCTCCATCATACAGCAACTGACCACAGGCCATCAATGGTTGTTCAATAACCTAGGCTACATTCCTAAAAATGCTTGGTCCATTGACCCCTTTGGTTACTCTAGTTCACAACCATACCTTTTAAAGTTGGCCGGTTTTGACAACAGTGTTATACAGCGAGTGCATTATAGAGTTAAGAAAGAACTAGCCTTAAACAGGCAATTGGAATTTAAGTGGAGACAGTTATGGGGTAAGATTTTTGGCTTAAGGAAGTTTTTTCTTTCATACATTTTTCATAAACAAACTTACTGTTACAATTATTCTGAAAGAGTATTAAAATATCATATATAAATATTTATGCTTTTAGATGGTGTTGGAAAGACTGATATGTTTACACATATGATGCCATTCTATTCATATGACATACCACATTCATGTGGCCCTGATCCAAAGGTACAACAAAGCACTATTAATTTATCAGTATATCTATATTGATTATAAGTTATACTGTAAGATCTATCTAATGATAATAATATCATAGATTGCTGTAATTATGGTTCATATTAAATATTTTAAATTTCATAAATTGCTACATAAACTTGTGTACTAAATTTAATAGATTTCTTCTGTACATATACCTTCAGATAACATCAGGTAGACTGTGTAAACAGTTGTCGGCCTGAGTGAGAATAACCAATAATATTACAGTATAGGAGGTATGACATTGACATTTAGCCCTCAGGAACGCATGAATCACGGGCGCCAGATGGTAACGTCCTTCTTGTTCATGTTTATAAGTGACCATTATTAGATAAAAAAGTCCCACCGTTATTTTCTTAACTTGTGGATGGTAGTATTTGATTCTTAATTATATTATTTTATACATCAATGTATATTTTTTTAAGATTTGCTGTCAGTTTGATTTCAAACGTTTACCTGGTAATGGCGTCTCTTGTCCGCTATATGGGGGATCTTGTAAGATTAAGTGAACCCCTCCAAGAAAAATAATACTTACTATACATACGTAGTATACATATGGGTGTTACAAATGTTTTTATTACGAGTAAAACTCTGTTATCTAAAGCAAGTAATGTGTGCTTAACATTTTTTCCGTATATCTTTCAATATCTTTAGCGGTAACCCCTACCTACATTAAAAAATAATACAGAAAAATGTCCAGGAAAGGTAAAGTGAAGTAAATCTATTACAAATTATTGTCATCAATGATCAAAATCAATAATATATGGTTTTATACAATACTAATAGATAAAAAAATATGCCGTTCTACAAAGAATGTTGAATAATGTATTGAAAGTGCGAAAGTAAAAGGATGTACAATGGCTTACTTATAGCACAGATAATATTACATAGTTATAGTGAAACTGCTATGAGAAATAAAATCTAATATCTATAAGTAACATCACACTGATATCAGTATTTATGAACTGATGCTCACATTTCAATAGTTAAAATTTCGAGTTTTAATACTAAAATGTAAAAGTGATGTTATAAAGTTTAAGGCACTTTAGCGGAGAGGTCATAAATCAGTGATTTTCTACACGAACTTTGTTACCTACAATATTATACCTCGTCAACCCTTCTCCCTTCTCCCTTCCCCTTGAACGTGTGACATTATTTATGTATGGCCTTCAATGTGAGACTGTATGTATAATGTATATACATAAATCCCTTTCAGGGGGAAAGGCAATTGTTAATAAAGTGGTGTGATGACCCCATTGCTAGCAATGTAGCATGTCAGGTTGATCTCCACGCGGCTCCACCTGAAAACGAATTTACCACAATTTACTAACTTCATCCTATCATCCTCCTCTGGTGCCCCGCGTAAACCGTTTGGGGCAGACGGGAGAACCATACCATTATCATCTATTAAAAAATCCCTTTCAGGGCCCATTTGATCCTGGATCAATGGCGCAAAAAGGCGCAGTTGTATCGGAGCAGTGTGGTGATGTTCCCACTTGGCGACGACTTCCGTTATGATCGCACTAACGAATGGGACAATCAGTATAGCAATTATGAAATGCTAATAGATTATATCAATAGCAATGATGCATGGAATACTGAGGTATGTACCATTAACTACTCGTATTTATAGCCACGCCAGAGACATAATGTTTTAACCTTTTTATTTATTTACTAGCTGTGCCCATGGTTTCACCCGCATTCATTTTCAGTAAAAAATATAGTCTATATGTTATTCTGGTACATAAGCTATATCACTGTAAAGTTTCATAAAAATTCGTTTCGTAGTTTTTGCATGTAGACAAAGAGTAACAAACAACCATACTCACAAACTTTCGCGTTTATCATATTAAGATATATTTTTTATAGACAAATACCCTTTTAAAGGTTTATAGTATTGCAATGGGTATTTGGGAAGTTATTATATTCTTATACATAAGTATAGCATATTTCTTGTTATAAGTAATAGATTACTGATAAATAACTGGAATACGGCTACGCTTTGATTCGAGATATTTAAATAAATGACATAATTTTCCCGCATGACTAAAACGCATATCTAATTGACAGTGTTTTGTTTGTTTACTTAAACTATAGAAATGTTTTACCAGTAGTACATTCATCTGTCGTATATAAATATAAATGTAAAGTTATTGAATATTTTATGTTTTCATGGAATACAAATATTGATAAATATTAATAAATCATTGTCAATGTAAATGTTTCCAAAATAATCTTATTTTGCTAATTATTGTGCCTACTCGTACAACTACAACTATTATATGCCATATATTCATTTGTATGATTGTATGTATCGGTCTTGGTGTTTTCTATGTCAGTCTTTATGTCAGTTGTCTAGTACTATAACACAAGCTATGCTTACCTTGGGCCTAGACGACGTTGTGTGAATTGTCCAGGGGTATCATTATATTAAAAAATAGGATGATATTGATTATACAGGTACAATTTGGCACTTTGGAAGACTATTTCAAAGCTGTACACTCGGAGATAAAGCTATCTGACTTCCCGGCTCTATCTGGAGACTTCTTCACGTATGCAGACAGAAACCAGCACTATTGGAGTGGTTATTATACCTCAAGGCCATTCTATAAAAATATGGATAGAGTACTCTTAGCATACGTGAGGTTAGTGAATTCATTGTACTCATTTACTTTATATTGACTGCTATACTAGTTAATATGTGCTATATATATGCTAGACTAATATATAGAAAACACCCAGACGAGTGTTTTCAATTGTATTATTTCTTTACTAGTAAATTAAAAGCTCTATATAAACGCTGTAATTTTTATATTTCCATAATGTCTTTATCGAACAGAGCAGCGGAAATAATAACAGCTCAGGCGACCACTACGGGTTCTATTACAAATATAATGTCGTTGCAACTTCGCGACCGTGTGGAGCAGGCGCGCCGTATGCTAGCCTTATTCCAGCATCACGACGGTATTACCGGTACTTCCAGAGATGAGGTACGAGAAGATTACGCCAAGAAGTGAGTACCCATATTGTTTCCAAACTAACTCATTTTTCTTACTTCAAGATTTGAAAATCGATTTTAGTTTTACTATACTATTGATGAAAGGAGTCGCTAAACGATGATGATGATTTAAAATTAAAATTTGAAACAGATTAAAAATCTATAGTTTTGTGATATCTATGGAGCTTCATTATAGTTGTAATCACGAATCATACAGATTCGCAATTGCAACTATAATGAAGCTCCAGCTTTTAATTGTAACAATGAATTCGTTAATGTAAAACCGAAAGCCGATCCATTTTAATCTATTACAATTCATAATTGTCAACAAGGGGTTTCCTCGCACATGTTGAGGTAAGTTTTAGATCCTGGTTTTTTATGCACTCTGGTTATGTCCATCTTAATTTGACGGCTTCGGTGATCTAGCGGTTTAGCACACCGCTTTACTTCCAATGGTCGTTAGTTCGATTCCTGACTGAAGGAAACTCTGAAACTACAAACATTGGTAGACTATGGCTACTAAGGCTATTGGCTATTGGCTACTAAAAATTGGTAGACTTGTTATATATATATATAAAACCATTCCCCAAGTATGTTTCTACTTTTAAATTAGGATAAGTTAAGTTGTAAGATAATGCTTTGAGCGATAAGGCCGTTTTTTGTTTTAAGTTTGTTTTGTGATTATTTGTTTATTTTTATGCACAATAAAGTTTTATTATTTTATTATTCATTGAAATATATATGTATATTAGATGTGCCCGCGATTTCACCCGTAAGAAATGTATGGCCTATATGTTGTTCTGATGTATCATCATTACATAGTATAAAACAAAGTGGTTATCGCTGTCTGTTCCTATGTATGCTTAAATCTTTAAAATTACGCAACGGATTTTGAAGCGGGTTTTTTTAATAGATAGAGTGATTCAACAGGAAGGTTTACATATATTATACATGTATACCCGTGCGAAGCTGGGGCGAGTAGCTAGTAAGCTATATTACTGTAAAGTTTCATCAAAATCCGTTCAGTAGTTTTTGCGTGAAAGAGTAACAAGCATATATCCATACTCACAAAGTTTCGCGTTTACAATATTGTTGTTGCCCCGGAGTCAAAGCCCTAACCTTCACCCCTTTAGAGGGGTGCAGAAGACCAATATCATGTCTTGTCGCTTGTACCATTAACGTATTTGTTGTAGAATGCTAACAGCAATCAAACACAGCCAGTCGGCGATCCAACAAGCTGCCTATTATTTACTCAAACAACCGCCACTTATAGAGCAGACCCAGGAGGATATATATTTCGACGTGGATGACATATGGAGACGCCATGACGAAATACCGGGCAGGATCACAATAGCTTTAGACGTGGTGTCACCGTCAAGAAGATTGGTTCTGTACAATGCCTTGGCTTTTAAGAGGCACGAAGTTTTGACTGTTTTGGTTTCCTCGCCTCATGTTGAGGTAAGTTTTAAATATTCCTTTCCTGGTTTTATATACACTCTGGTTAGATAACTTCAATCTTTATCTGACGGCCTCGGTGGTCTAGCAGTTTAGCACACCGCTTTACTTCTAATGGTCGTGGGTTCGATTACTCGCACGGTGCAAACATTTGTATTCATTAGTATGATTTTTTGTATGGATCTGGGTGTTTTCTATGTATGTATTTACAAAAATAAGTATTATCAATGGATTTGTATCAAACATCTATGTAAAATTCTGCTTAGTCTGGGACTAGATGACGCTATGTGAATAATCCAGGGTTGTTATTGCCATACCATTCAATCTTAAAAAATTACGACCTTTGCTGTTGAAGACACTCCCTCGCTGTCCAATGATAGGAGATTGAATCCCCGCAAAAACATGCATTATTAGATATTACCAAATATTATTATTATTATTTATTTATTACTCTTTATTGCATCCAAAATGTAATAAAAAGAACATTTTATATTAATATTGACCCAGGTGTTTTAGATGTACGTTATGTATTTATTAACAAAAAATGTACTTTGCTAAGTTTAGATAGCAGTGTTATGGTAAAATCTTTTATTTCATATAGTTTTAATTAAGAATTGTCATCTTATTTAAGAATATAAAAGTGTAAAATGACCCTTACATATTAATTCAAATCAAAAATAATTTATTCTTGTAGGATATTTTAGCCGCTTTTTGACGTCACATTTTTTATATTAATAATTTTCCCTACCGTCCAGTATAAAGATTCAATTGAGAAGAACTGGCAAAAAATTCATCTGGATTTCTATTAAAATTATATAGGTGTTCGACCCAGAAGGCAACCCTATAATGGCTCAGGTGTCACCTGTGGTGGCTGGAGAGAAGCGACTCGGGTTTGCAGCTAACAAGTTCCAGTTGTCCTTCCCGGTCACTGTAGACGCACTGTCCTTGACTATGTACTCGGTGTCGTTACGTGACAACATGAGTATTAACAAGTAAGTGCTATTATTGTGTAAAAAAAAAACTATATATTATTTTTTTTTCGGACTACACTAATTCTGTTGGCCGTAGTTGGCCTTGACATCACCGGACGATAGGGGGCGAGTGCACATGACATTCCAAACCCGCGGAAGAACTTATGGAGCGGCTGAGGCCAACTCCCGCCTGACGGAGACGACTTTAGTCTCAGGGCACCGCTGGGGGTTCGAAGCTCAGCTCAGGCCATCGTAATTTCGATCCTCGTTTGAATTGGACGGGGGATCGATCAGAGGGGGATATATATTGTATTAGCAATATGATTGCCTCAGGTCTCTGAAAGAAGGCAATTTATTTATTTAAGGAAACATATGGAAGAAATTTAACCAGCGGTAATAAATATTGTAAAATATGCTGAATTGTTAAGTATACTTATGCCGCTTGCACTAGTAGGTTATAATAGAATGATCATGAAGTCAGATAAGGAATACATTTGGAATTACTAACGAAGAATGGAAATGGAAACCATTATGGATAATTACTAATGAATTTGTTACGATGGGCTAACTAACCTGAACTCATGCTCATGGTTTCATTAACGGCCTTAGCTTAAATCAATCTGCAGATATGGCCAAGCAGAAAAGGAAACGCCAATACACTTCCTATGTGGTTATAGAAAACTAATGCATAAACAAAATATCTCTTTTGGAAAGTTTACACTTTATCCTAAGGAGGTAAAAACCATCGTTCCTAAGAATATCCCTCAATTCTTGTCCCTCACGGGTCTAGCTAGTGAACTTTGAATAATGGCGAGTACAATAGATCTATGCAAGTCGCAGTGTTATAGGTCTTAGCAGCTGACAATAGCCCAAACTCTCGAATAAAAAAATCATTAACGGAGGTGGTTGTATCATCCTAATATAATCATTTAAAAAAATCACAGGTATACAGCTTATTCTCGGGTTCGTGTATACAACGCGGACTACTGGACAATAGAACTACCAAAGATGTTCCAAGTGGAACAACCTTCAGCGCGGCTCAATGAGGACGTGACAGTACAGGCTGGGAACAGCACACGAGTGGTTGCCAACATGAACGGACTTCTCAAGGCCATTGTATCTTCGACTGGTGGAACCACGCCCGTTCATATGGACTATGTGCAGTAAGACTATGTTATCTATATATTAAGTGAATCAAAGGCTTTGTTTTATAAGAAACTTGCGCGAACGGAGGATAAAATGTTAGCTCACTCACATTTATAGTTTGTATAGAGAAAGGGTGTATAATCGTAATATTCTTTTAAATTATACTCAAAAATACATTATTTCATTAAAAAAACATTACACGGACTACCATATCTTGACAAAATCATAATAATAACTTAATGGAAATACGGTATAAATATTGTTTTCCTTTAAGGATAAGTTAAGTCATCTTTCCCTTGCCTCTATCCCATTATTTGGGGTCGGCGCAGTATGTCATTCTCTTCCACTGCTCTCTATCGGTCGTCATATCTGAACATACTCTTCTTTTATTCATATCGTCTTTCACACAATCCATCCATCTTTTCTTAGGGCGTCCCTCTCTTTACATCCATCCACATTCATATTATACACTTTCCATAAGATATGATCCTCGTTCCTCCGCATAACATGCCCATACCAGCTCAATCTGTTACCTCGCAACTTTTCTATAACTGGCGCAACTTTCAAACTTCCACGTATATACACATTACTTATTCTGTCATTCCTGGTAACCCCACACATCCATCTTAACATTCGCATTTCTCCCACATGCACACGTCTTTCGTCCATCCCCTTTACGGCCCAACATTCAGATCCATACAAAATGACAGGTCTTATGATAGATTTTAAGGATAAGTTAAGTAAGTTCCTTAAAATGTAATATTTTTAATATTATTGAAAATAGAGACATAATGCATAATAAAAGACTAGAGGCGGCGTGGAAGTAAGATGATAATATGAACATACATATTTGATTTCGTTTAAACTGCACAACTGAAGAAAAAAACCTAAATAATATCTTAATAAAGGCTATAATTATAATATACATCATTATTATAGGTACGACACTCAAAAAGGAAATGACAATAACAGTGGTGGCTACTTGTTCATTCCGGCCGGTCCTGCCCAGCCGTTCAAAGCGGATCCTTACCCCGAGATAGTAATTACTGAGGGCATTTATAAATCGACATTATATTCTTCTCTCAATGGACCTAGAGCTGCTGAGATAGTGCTAGCTGTAAGTGTATTTATATTTAGTTTCCTTTTATATATTTCCTGTACAGAACGTCTTGCTTAGTTTATTATAGTGACTTACACCCATGGTCATGTCTGGCAATCACAGATTTGTGTCAATTAGTGTTTGTGACTACTGAAGAATACCGTTAACAAACCAAACTTAATCAAAGGCACAGCAATACTGTGCTAATTCATATATATACAATAAAATGTGGGCATAGTAAGTAGGTAAGTGTTGGATTCATCATCGACAGTTGACAATGTGTCTGACTAAGATAGCAGTCGTAAAGATGTTTTTAATCCTCATGATAGACGTTATATTTTTAATACTACAGTAGTAGTCAATTAGTGGTGTACTTATATAATTAAAATTGCTTTATTAAGCTACTGTTTTGTTACTTGGTAATTTCTTCTTTATTTTTTCGTGAGATGTTTCATTACTGTATCAGGAAAATCATAAGTATATTTAGTTAAATAGTGATCGCATTATATGAATCATATCCATTGTATGACTGCTTTACAGTTTAAGCAACTAAAGATATTATATGATTGATATATGTACTTCTATTGGGTGCAATTATTGAGGATCAAGGTATCTAAGATTTTGTTTCCGATATCTAAGATAGGACAGTAATTCAATTTACAATCAAATTCAAAAGACAATTAATATAAGATACAAGGTTAAAAAAAGAGTTTCCGTTGTATTAAACCTACCAACACAACTCATATTTTTAAAGCCATTTTAAACGAACTGATCATTTATTTGTTGTAAAGTGGACAGACCTTTATAAGTACATGACATCCATACATAAGATGCATAAGATCTATGCATTACAATTCCCTAGAACAAAGGTTTTATGCGTCCAATATCTAAAATGGGTCATTAGCCTCTTAAATTTATTAATTCTGTATTTTTATATTGCATCATACGTATTATATACAGATTTCAGTATACGATAACCCATCGTTACCGCAAGCTGAGGTGGAGATAAGCAACACTCTGCTCATCGATCCGATAGTAGACGACATAGAGCTGGCTATGCGATTCTCCACCGAAATCAAGAATGGAGACGTCTTTTATACAGATCTTAATGGCATGCAGGTATATATATATTTTTGGAGTGTCTAATTATTTTTGGCGCCATTGTTCCCGCTATCTGTTTATATTATTTTACGTAAAAATATCGTAACAGTAAAAATTGGTTGGTACAAGAAAATTCAAGCGACAAATATTCACAGCGCATATACACTTCAATATAAATAAAAATATTGTTTTTATTTTGTATATGTTAAAAAGAACAATTTCATGACGGTACTTTTATTTCTTACATTTTCTTTCTTTTATTTCTCATAATGAAGAATGTTACTAGGTATGCCAAATCGGTCGAAAGTTTGATATAGTAAAGTTTGTATGTATACAAATATACTAGTTTTTGTTTTAGTAGTCAAAAATATCTATTAGTTTTGATTTTATAGGCATTAAAACTTACGATAAATTTCGAGTCCCGCTAACAGTCACGTGACGTGTGACGTCATTTTACAACGCTCCGCTCCGCTTAGTAGGGAGTCGTCAGTATTTTGTTTTGTTTTCATTCACGCATTACGTTATTATTCTATTAATTAATTAAATGGTTGAGGGAGTCGAAAAATAGCAATCGAATAATATGCTTAAAATAGATGCATTAATGGTTTTATCAACAAATAGTGATTTCGTTGATGCCGAAATGCGAGGAATAAAAATGCAAAGGTAAGTTAACTTTTCTTGCTATTTACAAAATAATTTATCTGTTTTAAAGTGTTTTGTTAAAAAAAATACCAAACTGATGTCATATTGCAAGTATTGCCACTCAAATAGGCAGAAGTAGCAAACCTTTTAAGTTATAGACAACAAATATGTGTTAGAGTTTTATATCTATAGGTACGTATGTACATCTGTAAATATACCTATATTTACAGATGTACATACGTACCTCTCTTAGTAAATTTAACTAAACAAATATATTGATTTATAGTGGGTAGAACAGATGTACTAAATCTTTTTTTAATTTTGATTTTTCTTATTAATAAAATACGTAAGCCGTTTTATTTGTTTTTATTTGTGACTTATTCCAAGTCGGCAAGAGACAGCTTTGGTGATCATGCTATCGGTTACATACAAGTAAAAAGAGCAAGTGATGTTTGTATGGGCAAATGCAGAATCACGCGCGTACGTACCACACGGTACCGTTGCTGTTTAGAATGTAATGAAAACAACTAAGAAGTTTTAAACGTAACTTGCGAAGATTGTGCCGCCAACAGAGGCTGTAAACGTACTGTACGCATTTTTAATGTGACTACATCGTCGAAGAGAGGACCCGACGACTATTATCAAATTTGTTGGATTTTTTTGTGATTATTAAAAAAATAACTATTACTTTGATGGTTGTATTTGTATATTTCGGCACAACACATGATTTTCTAGTATTTGGTTTGGTAATTTTTGAAGATATTTATAATTTCTAATAAAACGAAAGACGACTCCGTGCTGAGAGCGCGAGCGGACAGAGCGAGTGTTGTACTATGACGTCACACCGTCACACGAGTCCGCATCGCACGTTTACTTCTATAAATCAGAAACTAATTGACGTATTGAAGTAATTCTTTCACTTATATTTTTTATTTTTGACAGAGAATATGTAAAGCTAATATTCAAAATTAGTTAACATTCTTCATTGTATAATGTTTCTTATAAATAATAAGATAAGTTGGGTTCTCTTATATTACCCACAAGGAAGTTCGAAGCAGAATATGTTTAATGACAAGTTTCTAATGGATGCCTAATGGGTCTAGTAGTTTTTAAATTTTACTGTTACATTTATCCTTACAATATTAGTGGAGCTGTTTTCTGCTTAGATGACAAAACGTCGGTATTTTGAGAAGCTGCCGCTTCAAGCCAATTTCTACCCGTTACCAACGGCGGCGTACATTGAAGACGAGAAGACGAGGTTCACATTGCTCACCTCCACGCCGCTTGGCATGGCCGCGCTGCAGCCCGGACAAATGGAGGTTCTATATTTATTTTCTTTGTTAATTTTTATTATGTAATTGCAATGGCAAACTATGTAGCTTAGACGGCATTCCTGATGGGGCGTCCATTAATCATGTGACCACATTCTTATGCTAATTTCGTAGCCTCACCATTTAACAGAAATAGCTTACAAAACATGATGCTTGGGATTGCTGAAATGTGTAGGTGAGACTAATATACATATGTAGACGATTTTTACTTTGTAAATGAAACACAGTAGTCTATTTTGTACCTCTGTTTGATATATCTATGCTTACACTGATAGTGCACTTGCAAAATACCAGTAAATGAGGAAAATATATAAAAATAAAAACCTCTTTAGCTCAACCCACCATAGCTTTGTTTCTTTAATCGAATATGCTCAATGTGAAAATCCACCTCAACCGTCTTCACATAATTCTGTCTGCCTTGTGTAGTATAATCGCTAATAATATGTTTTTTATTAACAGGTGATGCAAGACAGGAGACTCAGTAGAGATGACAACCGGGGAATGAACCAGGGCGTGCTTGATAATGTTCGAACACGCCACACCTTCCGCGCCATTGTGGAGCATCCTACCGCGTCCTGTACGGTATGTGTAGTTTCCAGTAATAGTACATACATACTTCTATCTTATACGAAAGTTCGTTCAGACAGGGTAATCTAGAGGAATCGTCAACGGCAAAAGCAATCGCTTCATATTTTTTTAATGGATTATAATGGAACGATGTTTTCGCCCTCGCCAACTGTGTACGCTGGCGGGGCACGAGCTATTACTTAATATTATGGATATGTCACGTTTACTTTTTTAAATAATATTTTGTTTTACTCTAATGTACAATAAAAAAAAATCGGCCCGTTGATGAAAATCGCCGGTCACGCTAACTAATATGTGATGTGGGTACAGCCGGGCGCAGTGAGCGGGCGGCTGAGCGTGGGCGCGCACGTGTCGCAGCAGCTGCAGCTGCAGCCGGCGCTGGTGCTGCACCACGCCGCGCCGCACCTCGCGCCGCCGCCCGCCTACTCGCGGGCCGCCGCCGCCCCCGTCGATGTCGTGCTCGCTTCCTACAGGGCGCATGTCTCCACTAAGGTGAGGAACATAGGGAACGATGCTCCCGCCTGCGCTGACGCTTTACGAGGAGTATGATAAAATGATCATGACGTCAGGTCCGGTAGCCCATCGTGACAAATTCACAAGAAACTTATCTAGATGGTTTCCAGGAGGAACCACGGAGCTGAACCTGACATGGTACATTGCTAGCGATGGGGTTATTAGCCCACATAACTAACATGGATGATAAGATGAGTGGTATAATAAATGGGATTGGGTTGCTAATAATATACCATGGTAACTTTCTTTCGGTTATGAAAGAATGCTGATACCAAAATTTTTATGTTTAATAGCAACATTTATAATAGTATGTATATTAGTAACAATGTGCTTTTCCGACTAATTATCCAATATGTAATAATTATGAGAGTCGGATTTATTACTGTTACAGTTAGTCAAAATTATAAATTGAAAATAAAGTTATTTGTTGTTGGCCAATTTTGTACTGAACATATTTGCGCTCAAAATCGTAAGGATACTGATCCACTAGGCCACAATGATTGCATTAAATAGTTAAGTAGCGTTACAAAATAAACAATTAGACTTACTTTACATTATTGACTGTAAATTTAATATTTTCTAATACAAATTTCAGATCAAAAATGGCAAGCCTACACAGGGTTTGGGAATGACCTTCCAACGTGTTTATTTAGACAATTGTTTTGGGAACAAGGAGATAAGCAAATGGTATCCCACTGGAGATGGGCAGGTACGTTATTAATAATTACTATTTTAATCGTAATTATCGTGTAACTATACACACATAAATAGAAACCTATCTTTTAAATAAAACTAGTAACTCTAATATTCCTAAGAGCATTTGTTTTGAATATTTTGCCTATGAATCGAAATAATGTAAGTAAGATGAAAATCTGTATGTGTAAAATATACAAGTATTTCAATCCTGAAATATTGTTGACTGTTTTATCATATTATTAACATTAAGTTCACTTAAGTGTCCTACGTTTTTTAGTTATTGTTATATAATAGAACATATTTAAAACTAGAATAGCAATGTATTTATATAACATTAACGATATAGGAAGGTGTCGAGGATAACTGTAAAAAGATCATGATCCATGAGATCCATATACGATATATATGTGTACCTATAAGTTTTGTATAATATTCAGTATACCTTTAATTTACATTTCACCAATTATTCAGATTTAATGCGACTAACTACCATAAAACATTTTTAAAAGTGGTAGAGCAAGCTGTACGACCACACGTGGTTGTTTAGCTCGATTGGGCTGCTCGAACCGGGAAATAGCACACCTCGGCAGAAAACCGGCGTTAAGCGTTATCGCGTTTCGCATGGTGATCTGTAGGTTCCGGATGCCCCTCCCCCTCCCCCTATCCCTTTCCTACTCCCTTCCCCTACCCACCCCTTTCTTACATACCATGGCAGCGGAATATAAGAGATTTTTACCCCAGGGTGGTACCAGTAACCGTGTTACTGGAGAATCCACCCCTGAGATATCACACTCGGGCTGCCCTGCGTATTCTGGGGTGGGCAATACTCCGCTCCATTTGGCCAACAGGAAACCGAGCAAATCTCCATCGGCATTTCCCTTGCTCAGAGTCAGTTTTTGCAACATCAGGGGAATTAATTCCAATCTCAACGCCGTCCACCACCGCCTAGAGACGGCGAGGCCGGCTTTGCTCTTACTTACGGAGACGCAAATATCCTGTCCCGACGAAATTTCGTACCTGACCTACCCTGGATAAAATTTACCCAAAAGCTGGTACGTAAGTCTATTTTCTCCCTTGATATCCACAAGTCGAGTGGGCCTGACGGTACTCCTGCTATTGTGCTCAGGACGTGTGCACCTGTGTTGGCTCCGGTACTAACGCGTCTTTTCCGGTACTGCTACTCTACAGGTGTAGTCCCGAAACTGGAAGACTGCTTTGGTTCATCCGATCCCTAAGAAGGGAGATCGCTCAGATCCAGCTAACTATAGGCCCATAGCCATCACCTCCTTATTCTCAAAGACCATGGAGTCGGTTGTCAACCGTCAACTCCTACGATACCTAGAAGTGAACCAGTCGATTTCTGATCGTCAGTATGGCTTTTGCCAGGATCGCTCAGCTGGTGATCTTCTAGTGTATTTGACACATCGATGGGCAGAGGCTATTGAGAGTAAGGGGGAGGGCCTATCTGTTGGTTTGGACATTGCGAAGGCCTTTGATCGGGTTTGGCATAAAGCTCTTCTTTCAAAGCTACCATCCCTCGGGTTGCCTGCGAAGTTATGTAAATGGGTCGCCAGCTTTCTCGCTGATCGGAGCATCAAGATCGTTGTCGATGGTGCATGCTCCGACCCACACTCTGTGAATGCTGGTGTTCCACAAGGCTGTGTGCTGTCTCCGACTCTGTTCCTCCTGCATATCAATGACATGTTACAAATCAACAACATTCATTACTATGCGGATGACAGTACCGGAGATGCCTTGTATAGCGACCATGCTAATATGTCGCAGGCAAAAGTTATAGAGTACCGGAACAAACTTGTGTCCGAAATCGAAACTTCACTCCATCAAGTTTCGGTTTGGGGTCAGGAAAATTGTGTTCAATTCAACCCCAAGAAGACACAAGTTTGCGCGTTTACCGCTAAAAAGAATCCATTTATCGTATCTCCTCAGTTTCAAGACACTCTCCTTGAAGTGAAGCCAAATCTCGAGGTCCTTGGCATTGATATATCCAGTGACGTTCAGTTTTGCGGTCATTTGGAGGACAAGGCTAAAATAGCCTCAAAAAAGCTTGGTGTGCTCAATAGAGTGAGACGGTATTTCACGGCGGCCCATCGCTTGCAATTATACAAGGCGCAGATCCGGGCGCACATGGAATACTGTTCTCATCTCTGGGCGGGAGCACCACAATACCAACTACTTCCATTTGAGAGCAGTCAGAATCATTAGTAATCAACGTCTATGTGACAGACTCGACCCATTGGCTTTGCGGCGAGATATTGCATCTCTGTGCATTTTCTACAGCATATATAACGGGGAGTGTTCTGAGGAATTGTTCGGAATAATACCAGCTGCTGAGTTTCACCACCGTACCACCCGCCAGAAACTGAAATACCATCCTTATCATCTGGATGAATGGCGGTCTTCCACAGTGCGGTTTTCTAGAAACTTTTTGCCTCGCACAACCACATTGTGGAATCACCTTCCAGCAATGGTATTTCCGAACCGATACGATATTGAAACCTTCAAGAAAAGAGCTTATTCCTTTTTAAAAGGCCGACAACGTACTTGCAATTCCCCTGGTGTTGCGGGTGCTCATGGGCGGCGGTAATCACTTACCATCAGGTGAGCCGCATGCTCATTTGTCCACTGTTATAAAAAAAAAATACTAGAAAATTAGAACTTACATGCAAAACGAAAACATTTTGATTGCATGTAACATTCTTTTTATTGACCATAATATATCTATGTATATTACAATACCTTTATATTTTAACATTATGTTAAAATTTTAATTTTGCAGGTACAATTATCCGAATTAGTAGAGGTGCGGCCGGATGAAATATTTGAGAGCTCACTTACTTTTATGCACATAGGCAAAGCCGTACCAGAGGGTGTACTCACGCTCTGCCCCATGGAGATCCGTTCTGTTTTTATTAATCATACCATGAAGCACGGTTAAATTTTAAGCAGGATAATCATCTTTATTGTACGACTACCAGTTAAATGTGTTGTATATATTATTCATGTACATAGTATTTGTTAATATTTTACCACAAATAATGACTTTTCTTTTGACAGTATCTAACAAACAAAATACTCAATCACTCCAGAAGCTTTAGTAATATCGATCGAAATTATTGACTACAAAAGTACAGTTATTATATCTCAAATCGTGAGAGTACCAACACTATAAAGAGAACATATGATAAGATTGTAGACTATAGTCAGAGAGAAACATAAAATCCTATTAGGTCAAAGTGTAATAAATGTGATACCACAGATGAAAAAAAACGAAGATTGGCTACTTTGTTTTCTTGAATTTTGTTGCTGTAGACCCTTATGTAGAGAGCAAAGGTTAAACGTAAATGTCGTCTTTCGTTATTTTGAGAGGCATTTTAGAAGTTCTCCTTGCGGTAAAAGTCAAAAGCATTTATTTATATAAAACGTGATTAGCCATTTATGTAATTTATTATTTCTTAATATTCCAAATGTTTCTAATTCAGTGTGCTGTATCTTTTAGGAACAATTGTTAATAAACTCAACCCGAAATTATAAAAAAACTCAGGTTATTTTTAAAATAATTTTGCTTGTACTACTTGAAACCAAAAATGTTTGTTCAATAGATTCTCAGTTATGAATAAACTGTGTAACATGATTATATTCTTTCCACGTATTTAAGCATTTTTAAGTTAACAAATACAGATATAGACTGTTTTTATTTAAAATATTTATAATGCAGAATTGTTGTTACTTGTAAAGAACTAAAGAACCTTCAGTAAATGTGTAAGGATCATAAAAAATAAAATTATTTTTAAATAATCCATTCAAAGAACTTTCGTTGACGACTATGATAGCGTATAATGGTAGAACCATTATGTCGTTGTTAACTATGCTCCATTTTAGTAAAAAAAATACCTCCTAGCTAGTCGATTTCACTAACACATTCATTAAAATTCTGAATGCTCCCGAAATATCTTATAATTATTGATGCAACACTGATTTTTTTTAAGTGCGTCATGTTTTCTTATTTTAGATTTTAATAAGATTTTAAAATTTTATTATTATTACAGTAATATAGGATAAAAAACATTAATATTTGAAAGACTAATATTGTTATTTAGCTTTTATTTTCTTAAACTTTGAAAAAGGTGAGAGAGTTATTTACTTTTCTTATGTTCCTCTTTTTTTACACACTTTGTAATAAAAACTTATAATTTTTATATATATCATATTATCAGTTGTCTAAGTTTGGACTAAAGTCGTGGTCGTGAGTTCAACTCAGAATAATATGTTTATATTCCTAATTATGTGTTTGTTTCGTCAGTTCCTTTCTGTGTATTTATAATGTGCAATAATTTACGTTTTATCGAATGTTTATCAGTTGTCGAGTACACATAGTACAAGGTCAGTTTTATTCTCTCTTGATGGTGCTGCGTGATATATCCAAGCATACTTATAAGTTATACTGTAATATGTTGCATTATTTAGTTATTATATTTTTGACAGTGAAACAAGTTTGTTGAGTTATATTAGTATTTAATTAATTAAATGTAAATATATTTTATTACCTAATGTTTTGTATATATACGTCAGTAAAATGTACAAGTAATTATTTTGGGTGTGCGATATGATGATCTCTTAAAGAAAAGCGTAATTATATGTAGATATACATATATATGGGCTTTGTACTATTTTTTTTTGTCACGTATGGTATTTTTAATTGCAATTGTAAATCATAGTTGTGATTGTAAATAATTTTAAATAAAATTAACCATTGTAATAAAATATTGTTTTGATTTTCAAATTTGTCATTGTTTTTTATGTTCCATTTTAGGAAGAGCATACAAGCCGGTGGATGTTCCCGAATACATATCCGATCATACTGTTATATATTGGCGACATTTACCATTCAAAATTGAAAAACACTGATGTTGTATTGTAACAAACTGAAATATTACATTATTTGTAAAGGTGGCGATGACAAGAGATAAATTGTCCAATAAAAACAATTATCATTCAAAATGTTTTATTCAATAATTAAATAGGTAACTTAAATTGCCACAATATTAACAAAAAGTGGTTGTAGAATACTGATAACAATTAAAATTTGTTTTTAATACCCTGGTGGATTGGTGAATCAATCATTTGAAATAATGTACGAATACTGCTTAACCATACTTTATATGACTCGCCCGTCTTTTAGGGCCTTAACTTCAGGTACAGTATGACTTAACTTCAGGTGCAGACTAAGAGCAATAAAACTAAACTAAAAATAATTTATCACTCTGTACAGTCGCTATAGTAGTAAATATTGTTATCCACCGATTCACACATTTTTTAAATTAATATTTAACAATACTCCGCACAGCATTTCTTTATAATTCTGCAATAGTGATGAATACATAGTTATTTATACCTTATAAACATGTTAAACAAGTGCATTTTTTGGTAATTATAGCAACTGTACTGTACGTGAACGCAATGGATACACCAATCCGAAAATTAATACAATACAAACGGCGAAGCCAGTGCTTGACTCCGGATAATAAAAAACACATATTTGAAACATGTTTATGGCCATATCAATTCCATTAATATTTTTTAATGGATTTTTATAGTGTGCACCCGCCAGCGCTAATGGTCTAGGCGAACAAGGCAGTGAATGATGATAAAACGAAGTTGTCATTTCATTAATATTTAAAAGCGGACATTCAAATCCGCTTATTTATTTAATTGCATTTATTACAGGACAATTCCTGTAATAAATGCAATTAAATAAATAAGAACAGCTGGCTTACTTTGGAAGCAATTGAATTCGGATTAAATGGCCATTTCTTATTTTTAATTTATATTTTGTATTTTGAGTTTTAATCGATGGTTCTCATCCTTTAAAATAATCATTTAATTCGATTACTTCAAATGCCTTTTGAAGCCTATTCAATATGATAAAAGATTATTAAGTATTTAATAATCTTTTTAATACACCAGGAATATTAACATAAACTGAGATTGTTCCCTAATAATATATAAATATCAACCACCGATCAAATTAAAGTAAAAATACTAGTGCCAGCCAATGCCCCCTTCTACCCGTTCTTAGGAAGGTTATTATAAATACTACATTGATCTATATCTAAAATAAATTAAATTAACAGATACATATTAACATACAATAAAATTTATTCATTTGTATGTGTGTTTATTTTAGCACTTGTATTTTAATGTATGTTAAACTGTATATGTTTTTAATAACATTCAGCGACGTCATTATGGAATTATTCGAGTCATTGAGCAATTTTGGAAATATAATTATATTAAATTTAATAAATAATAAATATAAATAGTTTTGTATAATGAAATTAAATACTCTTGTATACATTTCACTACTCATTTAGGACGAGACTATTTCGTAATAATTAATTATAATAAAAATTTTAAGCGTTACAAAATATTCTATAAAATTCAGAGACTAGTACATAATAATATTATCCTATAAATACATTATCAATTAATTTTAGTCTTAGTAAATACAATATTATTGACAACTGTAGGTTGAAATCTCAAAACTATGTATGTTACGTTTAAAAGAAGCATATACACTCTTGCTATGCATTAGAACAGTATCACACGCACGTGATGTAGTCACGCTATATACACAAATAACAATATTTAAGATACTTATATCAAAATGAGTATAATAATTTAAGTACAATATTGATTTGTCTTTTGTAAATTAAAACGAGTTGTGATTCAATTCTGTGTTTTAAAATTTCTGGAGTGGTAATAGCACAACCTGCGCTTGATCGCTGATAATACTTTTATTCATGTGACTTCGCACGTGTGAATACGTTATTTCCTCATTGTATGTAAATTTTACGAAAAGACGGCATTTCGCTAAGTACATGGTTTTAGCCATATATATGCCTTTAGTATCCATTTATCCTTAGCTTGTACTTTCTTAACTTGTCCCTTGCATAAATATTACGTAGGGTAATAAAAATAACTTCTGATAATAATATTAAGTATGTAGCCCTACTAGTTTACTCTGTCCGCTGTAATAATATTAATTATAATAATTATTATTCGATATCAACGTAACAGTTTATATCGATTTTATAAAAACAATACAAATCATATAATTCGAGACAAAAACTACATTAATTTCGCATTATTATATTCGAAATCTCATTCATGAGTTTTGGAAAAAAATATTTCCAATGGCACAAAACTATTAGCTAATTATTAATAAATGGTAGCGCTGTATTACATAATATATAAAAGTGAGTTTTTATCACATTTGAATAATTCACAACATTTAGTACTTAAAGGACATTACAGTCTACACAATACTCGCGTATTGTCGAGGATTACAGAATTGCTAACATCGAAGGCCACATTGAATCTGGGTAGTACTGAACTGATTAATTGTTGACAGTCTCCCATTTCTAGGGGCGATAGTTGATAAATTGTATCTTCAGTGCTGTAAAAATATTTTTTATTAATACACACAGAGTTAAAGTGTTAAGTTACACATATTCGAATTTAAAGTATTAAAATGAAGGCATTGGTGGTCTAGCGCTTTAGCACACCGCTTTACTACCGATCGTTTCGAGGGTTCGATTCCTCGCAGGGTGCAAACATTTGTATAATTGTTTTTATCGGTCTGGGTGTTTTCTATGTATATTCTGTATCTATTTACAAAAAAAATCAAATTATATGAGTTGTCTAGTACCCATAATACAAGTTCTGCTAATCGTGGGACTATATGGCGCTGTGTTAATTGTTCAGGGATATATTTCTTTATTCTATAAAAAAAATAAAAAAAATATCTACATCGCCTACGATAGGGTTTTACCTAAAAAAATACTCACTCTCTCTGCTTTATTAGGGCGCCACTCAATATGAGTCCTTGTAGACAGTTACCAATACTCTCCAAACTTAGGGAGTACGGATGACATCCAATTTGTTCTATCCTCTCCTGTACCAATTTTAAAGTTCGCTTATGTGCACACTCAATTTGCTGTAAATTAGAATAATACATACATTATTAAGAGATTCATATTTTTATTAATAGAGGTATATTTTTACTAGCTGTACCCGCGATTTCGCCCGCGTGATATTGATTAAGTTATTATTAATTATGTGTTATTCTGATTAGCTAAATTATATAACTGTAAAGTTGAAATAGTAACAAACATTCATCCATCCATCTATCACTACATCATCTATCTTATACACTATTGTTATAGTGTCGTATTTATAATATTAGTAAAATATTATAAAGCTTAAACTTAAATATTTATTACGTAGGTACAAGCTGCATTTAGCCAATATTGGTCGATGTGTTATATATTATTATGTAGTTTTTCCGCACAATTAAACATCCCGCTCGCAAATTTATTAAATTAAAAATAACTAAATCCACAGGTATATTAAAAAATATGTTAAAAACATTTGTTCATAATTTCTCGTTCCATTTTTAGAGAAAAATCTTTAGTTTCTGCAAGCCTTAAAATATCAGGATTAATCGTAGAAAAAAATCGTGTAAGCATACGATTATTATGAGTGCTTACCTCAGTCATAACATCAGCGGTGTGAGCGAGGGTGGTGAGTGCAGGCCATACTGACCACTTGAGTAAGAATTGCAGCTTCTCATTGCCACCCGGCACTAGCCTACCCTCGGACATTGATACCACGCTGTTTTGTAAACAGTAATTGATTGATTCAGCAAATGTCTGAAATGACATATAATTTTATATGTAGTCCTTGAATTCAAGCGTACTTTAGTACGCGGATTTTAGTACTAGATGTCACCTGCGACTTTATTTTTTTTTTCAACATCAAATCGTTATTAGTGCTTAAATTTTATTACAGTTCTATATGACATAAAAATTGCCGTAATTAAATTATTATTATATTACATATTAATTTTATATTATTATAATGAATTCTTTAGTAATAAATAAAATACTTCTAACCTTTTCCTCTGTGTCCTCTACATAGAAAAATTCGTGATATAATATTTTCCTTATTCGATGATAATCGGAAGCTAGCTCGTCTAGAATAAATAACAATTATTAGTTAGTTAATACAATTAAACAAAGTCATTGATTTCGTTTGTTTCTCCGTTTATCTACGTCAGCATTCTACGAAGTAGTTATGATTCAGAAATTATTTATTCTTGTAACAGAGTATATTAATCGATCTTATAATCGGTATTTCGATTAAATTTCTAATAATTTCATTAAAAAGGTGTCCTAAAATGTATTTAATAAGTTATTTTATTTCTAATTCATCTTACATCTAAATTAATTAGAAGTAATTAGTTACCTTTTGTAATTGGTCTTCTAAGCACAATGAGTAAGATTATCGCAGGCGGAACTAAATAGTGCAGTATCGGGTTTACATACAACTGCAACTGTATAATTGGTATAGCGGTCGCCATTGTTTTTGACTTTAAAACATGACCTGAAAAATAAATGTATATTTCTTACATTAATAATCAAACACGTGATTTCTTATCGTCACCGTGACTGTTTCATTCACCAGCAGTCCAGAAGTCCAATTTCAACATAGGAATATAAGGACTACATATTTGAATATTTTAGAAGTCACAAATAGTCGAGTTCTATCAGATTTAGTGTTGTTTTGCGTTTTGAATGACTTTATAGGTCATTAGTTATATTTTGCATACAAAAAAATACCTGTTTACATTAAATACCAAATAAGTATCGTATATAATTTATACAAAAGAACATTAGAATTTTCTACTTTAACCCAATTGACTTGGGGTCTTATGTCTTATAACTTAATTCGGAATTGTACAATATACTCGACTCGAAACTCGGTTTCGTGTGAGATAACCAAAAGGATTTACCACAATATTTATACCTTTCATTCTCTTCTGAATATCACGTGACACGTCCATCAGCGTACCAGATAGTAGACGAAGCCTCTTCTCCTTGTCCAGTTTCACCATCTGACTGTGCACTACCAATATTCTATTGACATTTCCTTGAACATCGTTTTCAAACACCGTCGCACCTAAAGTCCTTAACACTTCGATCATCCATTCCAATTCTAGTAGTACATCATCAATAACTAAAACTCGGTCCCGCATGAGGGAGTCCATTAATACTAAAGCTAGTAAATTTGATATAGTGGCGACAGTAGACTTCTGCTGCAAAGTGATAACGTGATTCGCAACGCTTTGCACCTGTTTGAATTGTTCGGCAGTCAATTCTTGTAGATCTATGGGCTTGAGCATCTCCTCCGTATACGAAATGTTCTTGAGATAATTCTTTACGGAGAGTGGTGCGCCTAAATTGATATATATGTTACCATAGTGATCGTTGAGTCTGTATAGAGATTTCAATAGACCCTGTAACGTTTACAAAATGTAATTAATGATTAGAAATAATATAACAATGACAATGCAAGACAATTCACACAGCGCCATCTAGTACCCAGGTAAGCAGCGCTTGTGTTATGGATAGTAGAACTATCAAACAAACTGATAGAAATTATCAAACATATTATTTTACTTAATACATGTTTTATTGGAAATACATGCGTAATATATATAGGAATCACACAGTCCAATACAAACCATCATACTCATGAATACAAATGTTGGTACTAAGCGAATAATTAAACCCGCTAAGACAGTGCGTTAGCCAACGAGGCCGTCTAACAAACGAGGAATATTTATTTAACCGGCCAACATTGAATTTATTTGACTATCAAAATATCAATTTTTTTTTAAAAGCAAGATTTGTATAATGTTTCGCAACGAATAGATATTATAACTTTTTGCTAGCAATGTACCATGTCAGGTTGACGTTGAAGTTCCACATGGTTCCTCCTGAAAATCATCAGGTTAAATTCCTGGTTAATTTAACACGATGGCCTAACTGACCTAACCTCATAGACATCTTATCATCCTCCACTAGTGCCCTGTCACTGTATACCGTTAGCATAGGCGAGATCACCATTCCGTTTTCAACCCTTAAAAAAATTACAACTTACGCCAGTAGACTCCTTAGGTTTAGGGACACCTATGTGCTCATACGCAAAGAGACCGTGTTCCATTAGACGATCATAACTAAGGTTTATAGGTACAATCGTGATATCAGCCACTTCCTGTGCAAATAGTGGCGCCAAGCTCATTGACAACATACCTGCAACACATTGTTGTTGTTATAATAAAAATTCTATAATCAACTTCTGGACTGGATAACTGGATGGGAGCAGCGCAGGACCTATCGTGGTGGAGATCTTTGAAGGAGGCCTTTGTTCAGCAGTGGACGTCTTCCGGGCTGAGATGATGATGAATCAACTTCTATTAATATTAGAGTTATAACCGTAACATGCCAAGAATTAAAAAGGAAAACCAAATTAGGCGGTCTTATCGCAAGAAGCAATCTCTACTATATATGAATTAATTTGGCCGGATATTGGCAATGTATTTATCTGGTAGATGGCGATGGTGATGATATTATATAAATATATACTTATTAATTAACAGATATATAATTAAAATTAATACAAGATATATACAATTTAAATATAAATTTATAACATACACCTTTTGACAATAAACTTTATTTTATGACGCTAATTTTCATTACGATTTTAAAAAGAAAATCTTTAAGTAGGTACATCGTGGTGACCATTAGTATAAATGTAGCTTCATCAACATCTATAAAGTTAAGGTACTTCAACTTAGTACTTTAATCAACGTCTTTCAAGCCATGTCTCATAACATTACTTAACATTTCAAACAATGACAATCGTTACTGATCGCCATCATTGTATCTATATAAAGAAGTTACATGGTATTTTTTTATGAAAATAGATTTACTAACTAGCGCATGGTCCACCTGATGGTAAGTATCAACCGCTATCTATATCAGCAGCACCATGGGCTTTATAGAACACATTGTTGTCTTTGGTAAGTACAATGTGTTTGTGTTTCACGAGGTCTAAGTTTAATAACATAATTGTCTTCATACCCTGTAATTTTTTGCCACATCTCAATTTTTATACCGGAATACAACTTGCAAGTATATCGCTGTATCACCATAAGTAGGTGATATGAAATTTTCAGCTAGATCACTAGCAAGGGATATAAAATCTTATATATAAACTGAAACGGCTTCACCGCCGTTTCAGTTTATATACTTTTATGAAATTTTAGATATATATATATAGATTCGATAGGTCTGAGAATCGACTACCATCTATTTTTATACCACTACGTGATAAGGGTTATCCACCCCTAAATTTTATTTTTATTTTTTGGACAATCTCTTAAATCTTTATTGTTTTTTTTAAATGTGGTATTAAAAATACATGCCCTAAATTTTCACCCTACTACCATCAACCCTTATTTTTTAATAGCGATTTTAATTTATATAGCAAAAGAACGTTTGCGAAGTCATCTAGTGGACTAAATAATCAGTGACACATTGTATTAATATTAAATAAGTAATATATTATATTATTATTATGTATAAAAAAAGTAAACACACAGTCCCATTACCGTATTTTGGAGGTAGACTTTTATTACTGCGACTTCTAGTGCCTTCAAGGAAGAACTCTATTGGCGTGGCATATTTGGAGACCAACGTCCTTACGTACTGCTTGAGAGTGGCCGCGTAAAGTTGTGCACCTACTAGAGTGCGTCGGATGTAAAAAGCACCCGTCTCACGCATCGCGCGACCAATTATAGCCATTGAATAAAAATCTGAAATGTAAAGCCTGGTTCAATTAATAATCCAATACATTAATAAACAGTTACACCTTTGTACTTCTATATATTAACGCCCGTACAAAAATTAGTGCTCGCCGCAATTTTTATTACCACTGCAGCTAAAAAATATTTGCCACTAAGTACAACTAGTTAGAAACAGACTTTTATGCACTTAAGTATACTTATGTGCATAACAGTCTGTTTCTACAAATACTTTTTTTAATTAGAATATTTTTTAAATTAATTTGAGTCTCTATAATTGGCATGAAGACTTGCGCATTGGCTGGCAACGTTTAAGTTTTGGTCTATTTTTAATTAGTTTATCAGCAAGAAGTAGATTTATTGTAACATATTTATAATAAAACCATAATATTTTTATTTGGCGTGTATTTTACTCGGCTGCTGATTAAAAAATTATTAATTAGTATGTAATTATTAATTAGGAATAACTTAGGTATAACAACATTTATTTGTTTGGGATTCTTTATGGTATTAACAAACTGTATAAGTTATTCTATAAAGGTATGGCTATATATTATCTACTTTTGCCGTTTTATCTGGCTGTCTGTCATACGCATCTCAAGGCGTTAAACCTTGAAAATAACCTTGGCATATGATAGAGTCACATAAAACACTGTTTACAATAACAATTTGTATAAAAATGCCTCTCAATTTATCAAGTATTAGTAATAATTTCAAATCTGTCTGTCTGTTAGTGTTCACTATGATATGTATATGGTTGAATATTTTTTCATACACACAAATTAAAACAGAATAAAATTTATTTGGTTTGGTCACTATTCATTATGCTAATTATGATCCTAATATAAGTAAAGTTGGCGGTAAACATTAGTTAAAAAATGGCGTAATGTGATGAATCTAAAATATAGTATTTGAATGGTAATTCTTGACAAATTTATCTGTCCACCTGAGATTCTCGTCGTAATTGCAGTTGACAAAAACTGATAAGAAATTCAACAAGTACATTTTTATAACATTTTACAACAGTTTTATACTATATTTATATCTTTATCACCTACTCAATATATACTCTATTCTACTAGTCTGCCAGTTCGGTTTGTTATAGTAGACAATTACCTACACGTTCACTTATGTTGCTAACTACGCTAATAAAATTCAACAACACAATATGTGCTCAGTAAATATTATGTATTGGACATTACCTGTTTACCTACCTACTATATTCGTTTTGCAGTGAGATCATTATGGCCAGCATTAGTTAGGCGCATACATCCTTACTAATATTATAAATATGAAAGTAACTGTCTGTTTGTTTCATTTTCAAGCCAAAACTACTCAACCGATTTAAATGAACTTTGGACACAGACAGTCTTGAACCTGAGATAGAACATAGCCTACTTTTTAATGCGAAAGAAAGGTAGTAAGCACAGCTTTGTGTTACGATCATTCGCAGATTGGACACCGCTCCACATGCTGGTTTAATCTCATTGTCATAACTTTTAAACTATGTATTTATCCAAATTAATTTGCGGGCCCTTTAAGTCCTAAAGCCATTCATCAATGTACTTATATTAATATGAAGTAATTCTATGCTACTACACATTATTATTATAGTATGTAAATTGAATAAATTTATACTTCATTATTTTTGCTATAATGAACTACACATAATATATGCCATCATGGATTTTTAGGACTATTTAAAAGGAACCATACATCGGCTTAGTGTAACTATTAATGACGATTTATGCAGCATATGCTATGATAGCTCTCAGATTAACAAATTGTTTGCACTTACTTGAGAGTATCATTACTTTTCACAGAATTTACACAATATCTTTTTAAATTACAGCCTATATTCGGATATCCTTTACTTTACTAATGACTCTGTTACATTGTAAATCATGTAAAGCTTTGTGGAGAAAATACATATATATCAAGTCAAAGTTACATTAAAATTCAGTAGGTTTTGCGTGAGAAAGGAACAAACCTACATCCATCAAAAATTTATAATATTATTAGGTTTGGTTGGTTTTTTTTAATACCACGATGGTGTCAAAGACGCATACGGCCCAACTGAGAGTAAACGGCAGGTCACCTTTACCATTATTAAGAAAACCCAGTGCATTAAATAATTTACTAGTTCAAGTCATTACAATTATGTATATGAACATATACCTACATAACTAGCATCAGCCAGTAAATTATGTAAACGAGATTTAATCAGTATTTACTTCAGTTAATACCTAAACATTTGTCAGTAAACAGAACATAATATTCTGTAAACAATAAGTCATTATTAATATTATTTTTACACGAAGACAATTGACAATCGGTTCAAATTAACTTTTTTATTTACATTAACTAGCGTCTATTGGGTTTGATATAGCCAGCAATAGAATCAAGAAGATTGTAACAACTAAGAATAAAGTAATTTTTGAATGCAACACGGATGGATACAAATATTTTAGCACGCAAATATTCTTTTTAATATTTTCTTTTTTTTTTTTTTGTCCGTATATGCAAGCCCAATTAACAGAAAACAATACAACTGTAGTGTGAAAATGTGAAAGCGCATCTTATTAGAACTAAAACGTGTTACATATGAATTTAGATCAAAGTTACATTTATAAATCTTATGTCATATTTAGTTAACAAGGATTTCATGTTGGTGGTTATTTGTTCAGTTTATGAACATTCCGCACCGAATGCTATAAGACGCTGTTGTCCTTCCCGCGCTTAATACAGTGGCGCTCCCAATCAACATTCTTTCGATACTGGCGACAACCGATATTTAATTCCTTCATTAAAACAATATTTATAAAATATTGTAACACATATTACTGCGTTCTGTATGGCCATCCTACGCTATACGTGAATCACGTGTAGGGTTACCGCTATGAACTGAGAACTGAAAAATATTGTGCTATATTAACCGTATAGCCATGACGGTCTCGGTGGTTTTGCGGTTTAGCACACCATCTAGTACCCATAACACGAACTTAATCTTGCTTACTTGGGACTAGATGGTGCGGTGTGAATTGTCCTAAGATAATTATATTATATAATTATAGCATAATATTTTTCAGTTCTGAATGAATGAATGAATACTTAGATATATATTTATTGTAAATAATATTTACAATAAATATATATCATATCATATATTTTCGGGCGTTGTTCTGTTAGGCAGGGTGATTGCGAACTCGATCCTGCAACCCCAGCACTATGGCGGCGAGGAGGAATGCTAAGGGGTTTCAGTGAGAAGTCTCACAGTACCTGTCCGTACAACCCCAGAGTTGGACGGGTCTCCACGTAAAAAAAGGAGGTGGCACACGGCTTTGGGGTAGACTTTGTACAGATTACCTGTGTGGGTACCCCTATCACACTGATTCCAGCTACGAAATGTCTTTCTTTGGAAGATGTATTCCAGTTGGAGGATTGGAGATATGGCAGTTAAATGACAGGGTAACGAGGGCCTTAGTTTTCCGAAATGGTAATGCATGAGTGGTATTACGAGCGTCACATCATGATATGATATCCGTCATGTTGTTCATTTAGGCGATGATTGCATCAGCGTTTTTTCTATTCAAGTCACATAAAAAAAGTTTATATACTCATATACTTATAAATAAGTATTTATTAAGTTATAAATCAAGGACTCACCCATGCCTGCCGCAACAGCTGGTACATCAATATCATAATGAAAGCAGAAGTATGTCATTAAACAAAAATCAGCATAACTTCGGTGGGTTGGCAGGAACAGGACTGGGTTTGTTTTCATTGACGATTTAAGCTAAAAGCACAATGCTAAATCTCAATGTTCAACTTTGAAAATACAATACAATAATAATACTGTTCTTAGTGTATTAAAAAGATACCTGCCGTCTGAAATTACATACAAGTTTTTCTCCTGATATGCTTATATTTCTATAAAGAGAAATCATTTTGTGTCCTAAGGCATTACTATAGCATAATATAATAACCATTTTTTTTAAGTTAATACATTTATAGCAAAGATTAATGTTTATTTCTAAAATAATTCAGTTACAGCAGGGATGTTAAGGAGCTCCGTAACCGTAACCGAAACTTTCGGATATCCGATATAAAAAAATATTCGTAACCGTAACCGAATCCGAAATAAAAGTTTCGGATAACATCGGATAGAGGCGGAGCCTAATTGAGACACGTCATGTAACCATTTTATTAGCTATTTGTATTTTACTTTTGAAATTCCTTAAAAAATTATTATCCGTATCCGAAATTATCCGAAACTAACGGATAATCCGAAATAATTTCATATCCGCATCCCTATCCACGTCCGGTATAATAATCATTCCTATATCCGAAACCTATCCGTATCCGAAATTTCATATCCATAACATCCCTGATATACAGATATGGGTCTTTCCCACCTATTGAATAAATTCGGGTTATTACTGTACAATAATGATAATCAATCTGTTTTAAAATATTTACCTTAAGGACTGCAGGTTCATTCACAAATATGCCAATTTTCATCATGAATGATATTTTTAAGAAAGCAATACCCATCCACCGGACCACATGCATTTTCTTATCAAGACCCATTTCTTCAAGGTAGTTTACAATTTCTTTTTTTAATTTAATTTTGGAGACTCCACTTCTTACACTCTCCTGTTAAGTAATTTTGTTTTATTATTTATATAATAAATCAAAAATTAATATAAGTAAATATATAATTATAAATATGACAGAGCCTAATCATCTTAATTTTAAAAATATTACAAACACAAAAGTTTGTGAGTGATCGTGATGATGATGAAGAGTAACTCTTTCACACAAATACTACTGAACGGATATTGATGAAACTTTAGAGTAATATAGTTTATGCATCAGACTAACATAGGCTATAAATTTCACACAGGTGAAAGCACTGGCACAGCTAGCATTAAATAATAATAATAATTACTACATTCATGATAATTTTTAAGAGTACAGTAATATGATTATTGGTCTATTATTTATTATTGAAGATTTTTTTGACAAGCTTCGCTAATACATGATTGAACAAGTTTGAACTTATATGCATCACCACTGTTGTACTCGACGCATAGGGTATTGTTTTGATAATGATTGCTCAGAAGCGAAAGCACAAAACACTAACAATTAAAGAAAAATATAATATTTTAGACCGCCTAAATTGTAACAAATCTTTTAATAGTTGACATACATAATGAAGTATGATTTATACTTCAAAGTGAATGTACATACATACATATATAACATAGAATCTTATTACAGGATCTGTAATTTGTCAGATTACAAGATACTCTTTTGTAAATAATTCCAGACTATAGGGGACCCTTAGGCAGCACTCTATAATCCGACAAATTCGATGGTCTCATACTGCCCTGCAAAACATTTGTCGGATAACCGGGGGTCCATTGTATTTTACTATTTAATTATGTATAGTATAACAGTAACTATTAAATGTAACTTCATTAATATTAAATGTGTACTTAAAATAGATAATTTTGCTATCTAAGTATGTTACATGTGTATTTTGTGATATTTATTATACTTATTTGTTCTACTGATAACTCTGTTATATATCTATCTGTTTATTTGCTTTCACCAGATTGTCTGGTAAGAGACAATTAGCAACAAATGTCAAAAGAGCTTATAAGAATATATACCAGATATCAGATTTTTTAAAGCAGTGCTGTCCATTGGTTTAAGTTTATAATACGATTTTCACTATATTTTTTTCTGGAATATCTATAGGTATAAGAAATGTATACAATGTGTACACAACCTTCCTAAAAAATCCTTAGTTTCACAATGTGAAAAACCATTGTGAATTTTGCTGTTAAGAAAAAATCCCTAAACCTACATAAATAGTTATAAATAGAATAATATATTTAAATTTGAATTAACCTTACCGCTTCTATAACTGAGTCAAGATATACTGAATTTAATACTATGTTCTTTAAGTCTTGTGGTGAATAATATTTATCCATACTATATGTACGAAGAGGATGCCAAGCTCTTGTCATAAACTTAAATATTCCACTTTCGGTTTTCCTCGGCATCAAAATATTTTTAAAATTTACTTCTTCACACATTTTTGTACTTCCTCTATTGCAGCCCCTTTATTGTAACTTAAGAATTTAATTACTAAAACATTTATTAAATGAGGTAACAATATTTTTTAGTTAATACATATTACGTTTCTTATTAGTGCAAACTATTATGAAAATTAGCTCTCAACACGAGCTGTACTGTAAGTATCTCAGAGAGAAATAAAATAAAGGAGGGCAGTTGATGATGTCAAAAAATTATCGATTGTGGAAAAATCGATAAAATATGAAGGGTCAATTTTACTAATTTTAATATTCCAAAAAAATATGAATTAAAAACGATTTGTTATTAAAGTCTTTTTTTAAAGAATGTAGTACAATGTGATTGTAAGGACAAACTACCTGACGGCCCACGAGACGGTATATTGTAACTGTTACGTTTAATAGGCATATGAACGAAACTACGAATATCATTTTATGATGCCTGCAATATTAATTATGTATTGTCATATTCCGGATTAAGATGTCATAGTTCCTATCCTATTCTAATTTAACTGCTTTCTCTCATCCCATAATTGAAACACTTCTTACAAAACAAACTACTTTACGTTTAATCGTAATACGTGATAACCAGGCAGCAATTTACAAAAACTATAAAATTCTCATTTAAAAAGACTACAAAAAAGAAACTTGGTGGTGTGTATGGTCCTTATAAACCGGAGTCATATTGTATTTTAATAGTTATCTATTGAATATTATACAAGACTACGCCTGTTCCATTCAATTTAAGAGCTCTAAAATTAGGTCCGTGATAAAATTATAATTATTTACTTAATAAAAATCGAGTATTGATATGAATGTTTTTATTACGAGTATAATAAAAAATTTAGAATAATATACCTAAATATAAGATTAATGGACTTAATAATCGATTTATTACACACAATAACTTATATCACACCCCTACAATAGAGTCGAAGTCTGTCACGAAGTTCAGAATAGCTGTCCGAGAACAGCACTCTGTCACTGTTATTGTCATTGTGATGGCTGTCACTGGTAGTTACGGTTTCTCTACCACAGAATCACAGATCAGCTAGGATATTATATCAGAAAACTAACTTCCGCACGAAGTATTGTTATAAACAAAGATCTCTTTTAGCAACTTTTCTTTGAAGCACCTGTTACGGTTGTTCTCTATTTGTTCTGTATACATTAGGCACCAAACACGTAACTAAAAATGAAATTCCTCAGTTTTAGACAATCTCAGTAAATAAACATTAAGCAAAGCTATCAGCGAGTTTTGAATATTCTTAGATTTAATTCAATTTGAGTGCATTTAAATATGAAGTCTAGCTACGACGTTCCTTCTCATCTACAATTAGGTGCCCCAGGGTAATAGAAATATCCTATGGAACTCCAATTAAGTGGAATGAATACCAATCGGTATATTATTATACCGTATGGTAAATTAGCCGTGATGATTTCTAGAAAAATTCCTTTTGAAGTCGATTTGAATGGATACATTGTTATGAATGAAACCACCTTACTAACAATATTGTACCTTTCAAGTATACCAGTACCCGAGTGTGAAGATATACCTAGTAAGAGATAAGTTTTTGTGAAATGGTTTAAAAATCATACCAAATTATAGCTTTACTTAGAGACAGTTTAATATTTCAATTGATGATTATAGAATAGTGAATTCGCCAGTGTCTAGCGTGACTGGCACTAGTGACAAACAGGATACATTAGTAACGGAGATTGTAAACCACTCCTCCTTTAATACAGTGCTAGGTGGTAGGGGGGAAGGGGATTGTTAGTCATGTGGACTCATGACCCCATTACTAGCAATGTAGCATGTCAGATTGAGCTCCACGCGGTTCTCCCTGAAAACCATCGTGATAAATTCCTGGTGAATTTGTCACGATGGGTTAACTGACCTGACCTCATGTCAGGTCTTACATCTTATCATCCAACACTGGTGCCCCGCCAGCGTAAACCGATAGCGCAGGCGGGTGCTCTATTCCATTATCATCCATAAAAAAAGTACTAGATGGTGGTTCGTAATAATAATTAGAAGAATGTCAGGATATTTTAATTATTTACTCTTTACTGCACCAGAATGACATACAAAGAACAAACAGATAAGTAATTCAGAACCGAGCAGCCAGAATCATTGGTAATCAACGTCTATGTGAGAGACTCGACCCATTGGCTTTGCGACGAGATATTGCATCTCTGTGCATTTTCTACCGCATATATCACGGGGAGTGTTCTGAGGAATTGTTCGGATTAATATCAGCTGCTGAGTTTCACCACCGTACCACCCGCCAGAAACTAAAATACCATCCTGATCATCAGGATGAATGGCGGTCCTTCACAGTGCGGTTTTCTAGAAACTTTTTGCCACGCACAACCACATTGTGGAATCACCTTCCAGCAATGGTATTTCCGAACAGATACGATATTGAAACCTTCAAGAAAAGAGCTTATTCCTTTTTAAAAGGCCGACAACGTACTTGCAATTCCCCTGGTGTTGCGGGTGCTCATGGGCGGCGGTAATCACTTACCATCAGGTGAGCCGCATGCTCGTTTGTCTTCTACGTTATAAAAAAAAGTAATAAGGTACATAAGGCGGTCTTTTTTTCGTAAGCAATCTCTTCGAGCAATCTCTGGGTAGAGGAGAGAAGACAAGAAGTGGTAGATGGCGTAAGAAATAAAAAAGGCATAGGAATACTAAATAATAATAATTTACATATACTTCTTACATATATATACAATACAATTTATATATCTAATACATACATATTATACATAAATACCCAATACACAAGAATGTTAATAACCAAGTAATAATGTTACTATGGGATATTGTCAGAGGAAACAGGCAGAACTGCAAAGATAACCGGCATAAATAAAAAAAACAGGATTTAGTTGTTATGCATGATGTACATAACTGCTTCATTTAATTAGATAAAATTTTACATACACAATAAAACATTGTAAAGACTCTTAATGTTTATAAAATGTGTAGTATTTAGAAATACAACCTACAATTATATAAATTGGTCATTCTTAGTCACTATTTGATTATACCAACACTACTCTTAGATTAAATTATTGTCACAAGTTACATTTGTAAACTATAATAACGTATTAAGTATAAAAATTAAACTGCGAGTTCACTTAATAAAGGACTGAGTTGATCTACAATAGATCTTTGTGTATCCTCATCTATTGGTTCCGCATCGTGTCCTAGAAATGTGCCCATTTCGCGACACGTGGCTATGTAAGCATTCCACATCGCATTCCTCTGCAAATTCATGGGATTACCAATAATAATAGTCTTTGCTTTAGCTCGCGTTAGTGCTACGTTAAATCTCTGTAAATAAAAAAAAGATAAATAATTGTATTCTTTATTTACACCACTGCAATGCTAAATATACGTAGTGCTAGTGTGATGGTGTGCAGTCTCAATTAACACTTTGTATATCGTATGATCTGATATCAAATATAGATGTAACTCTTACATATAACTTACCTTTGGGTCACTAAGGAATCCAATTTTAAATTTTCCAACGCTTTTTGTAAAGTCACATTTCGAACGTACCGTTGTTAAAATTATAACTCTTTTTTCTTTGCCTTGAAATGCCTCTACAGTTCCGACTTCAATGTTATTATAGCCTTCAACTTCAAGCCAGTCTCTGATTTTGTGGACCTGCAAAATAGGTAATATATTACAGGAAGGGAGCGGATTTTTAGTAATAGCGTCTAGCGGTTCATTCATATCATGTCCTCAAAAAGGTCGCCCTTGGCATACGTCGAAAAAATTTGGAAATTCACAAATGTGGGTTTTTTGGTCTCACTTCATATTCATTCTATCATCTGCCGCTGATTCTCCGTCGGCGTATACCTCTAGTGCAAAAGGGTACACCATTTCCATAGAGATTAATTAATAAATCATAATTGCACACCTTACTTTCCATGGTCGTAAGTTCGATTCCTCACATCTATCACTCACAGTACAAAAATTTATATCCACGAGTGTAATTATTTGTATTGGTCTGTGTGTTTCCAATTATATTATGAATGTATTTACAATAAAAATCTATTTAGTACCAAATACACAATCTGCTTAGTTTGGGACTAGATGGCGCTGTGATAATATACTACTAAAAAGGAAACAAAATGCATAGAACTATGGTAGATATTATAATTATACCTGTCTTGTATACGGCGAGATCACTCCGATATCATTTTGGGGTACTTTGTGCCGAATTATCAGAAACGATATATAATTTTGAACTATCTCTAACTCCATCATGTTGAAAAAACTGTAATTAAATTATAAATTGATATGTTTAAGCAGGTACGTGTGGAGGTAATTTTGTTATTAAATTATTTATGTTAACTGGATAGCACATATCTATTTATTTAACAAGTTTTGTAATGTTATTCCTACGTAGTACATAATTCATGGATATATATATTTCTAATAGTTCTAGCTATTAACACATGAAACATATCGTCTGGACTATTATTCCTGTCAGAGGCATTGTCAACTGTCTATACTGTAGTGACCGCAGTAGAAATATAACTAGAAGTACATACGAGTTTTTTGGAGTCGGCTAGATGTGACTATTATCTATCTATCTATAATATCTACTACATCACCCCTTGGGTTTAACTCAGGATAATAGACCACTTGGCTGGAATGTTCTCAGTTCTACCTATATTAAGAATATTACATAGGTATCTATGATATGTATGCAAGAAGATTGAATCTTAAATTAGTCAAGAATCTAAGGAAATAGTATATATAATAATAGTGGAATGAGATTGATGTTACCTGGGCGACTTGCCAAGACGCTGTTCCTTAGAAATTACGCTATGGAAGACTATTGCACGACTCTGTTTTTTCACGCCTAAGATATCCAACTCGTTCAAATAATCCAATTTCGCCATAGTCTATAAATATAAAAGTAATATATTTGTTTCTCTAGATGCTGAGAGCTTTCATTGGCTACATACATTTTTCGTTACTCACCCTTAGTTGTCCACTGTAGAACAGATCATTTGGTATTTTCAATATATCTGGATGGGAACGGAAATTACTACGTAGCATCACCATGTAGTTTGGATCATTTATCTCACTGCTGTATATACTGAATTTGCTCTTAAGTCGCTCCATCAGCGATAAACCTGATAGAAGATATAGGTTGCGAGTGATGTAATCATAATTAATACACAATTACTGATATTAAATATTTAAAAAATAACCCCTTATTGCCTCCTATAAAAATTAAGTAAATCGCCAATTTGATGACAGATATCTCGGACAATCAAAAAAAAAACATTTTTCATAACTAGCACTACCGATTACAACATTCACCAAGAGGACTATTCAGATTAATCTTAGCAAATATTAATATATTGATGACAATAATAAACCTAGGGTTTTTTATTAATAGCTGGTAAGGGAAAAGTCGCCTCCGTTTATGTACGTTTATTTATACGCCGGCGAGGCAACAATGAATGCTGATAAGATGAGTATGAGGCCAAGTCAATTAGCCCATCGTGACAAATTCACTAAGAATTTATCAAGATGGTTTCCTGTGGGAACCCAGTGGAGTCCAAACTGACATGGTATATTGCTAGCAATGTGGTTATTACTCCACATTAATAACAATTGCTATCCTCCCACAAACCTAAGGTTGCAGTTGTCAGAGTAAATAGGATGGAACTCAAACTACCATAATCAGGAACCATACCATAACCAGTGGGCAATATCTACATGGGCTAACCGCAGTTCTGGTTCAGCGGGACCTCGAGGTACCGCGTGGTTTTTTGATAGGTAAAGAATTCACTCCTCACGTCTGTCTGGACTGGTGGAAGATTTTCCACACGTAAAGAATGGGTCGCATATTTTTTACAATACTGACCGAGTCCAATTTCCTTGGCGTCATGAGATATAATAACAGGACCGAGCTGCAGAGGGTCTCCGGCTAATACCAATAAACCATTTGTACGAAGTAATCCACTCGCTGGAATAAGGCACGCGGGCTCACTTGCTTGCGCTGCTTCATCGATGAAGAGATGTGTAATGTGAGGTTCTTTCTTTTTAAGTTGTCTGTTAATTATATAAAATAATTTATTCAAAATTATATCTTTGTAGCAGCTGAACATATTTTAAAGATACCGAATAAGTGGATTTGTTATAAGGCCTGGAGTTTCAGATGCATCCAATTTTAGATCTATTATTTATTTTTAGTACCTTAATCAAAATAAATAAATTGTTTCTAAATAATATATAGTCGTGTAAAAAATATATAATGTTTCATTTTCAAATTGAGATGTAGATGATATACGATCTTAGTGGCATTTAGCGATCAAAATACACAGATTGAATATCATAATAATATATACCGAGATTGTATACGCAGAAACTCATCTAACTATTTATTGAATTATATAAAAAGTTATTAGTTGTGACGAATTTGTTTCATTTTATTATAAAAATTCAAAGATTACTTACTTTACAAATTTAGCAGCATGGGATAGTGTTGTCACCACAATGCTGTAGGACCTGAACTTGGATATCGATACAGGTTTATGCTCATGGTAACTCAAACCATTGGAATATAATTCGAGTGCTTCTGGTATGTCCCTGAAAACGTGAAAGGAACTACACTGTACAACATTTAATTTCTAATTGTAACAACATACTTACCATTGTAACTCAATTACTTCCATATAAGTCTTTGCATACTATTAAAGTATTTATGTAATGGCCTCGGTGCTCTAGCAATTTAGTATATCGTTTTACTTGTGATGGTTACCGTCGCTTGCCCCCTATACATGTACAGCATCATGGTTATCACGTTATATAATATCTATAGTATATCCTTCACGCATTGCCTAATGCTAATGTGACTTCATATCCTATATAGTTTCGCTGCCATAACAGAGCTGATAAAGATAGTTGTTTCACGGAAAAAATAGATAAAACGGAGGTACGAAGATGAAATTGTGTTTACCTGAACTATATATACAGGTATATATTCCAAGATTTTATTTTAATAATTTACTTACCACGTTCTGAATCTTGAGTTCGCACGAAGAAGAAATTTTCCTTGTAGCTCAGGGAATTCGTTCGCATATTTTATCAACATGGTCGCAACATAATCAGCCGTGCTGTTAGCATCTGTGCATACTAGAATACGATGCTCGAAATTATTCAACACCAACTGAAAGTATAGATGTAACTGTATAAATAAATCAATGTTAAGAATTTATAGCACAGACCATCACATTTATATTATATTGAACATTGAATATAAATGGCATTATTAAGCGGATATAAAAATAAGGAAATTTTTACATAACATGTAAAAATGTACAGTGTAATAAATTTCAAATAGTTAAAGAATAACAAATTTACATCCAATACATTGCATGCAGTTATATACTACAAATATATATAGACTCCATACCTGAAGTATAGCTTCTACGATGGTAACAGTTTTCCCGGTACCTGGGGGTCCGTGTACCAGATATGGGGCTGCACCAGATGTACCTGACACAATGTGCTCTACTGCCGTACGCTGCTCTCTATTGTCTCTCACCAGCGGGTTGAAGAACCTATGAATATTATAACTTAAGTTTATCTAAATAGAATTGCACTGGAAGTTTGAAAGAGATTGCATTACCCTAAGAATTGCCGAATGAAGGATAAGAATGTAGAAAGACATGTGTTGAATATATCTATGGCCATACCATAAATAAAGAAAAGTAAGGCGATGACAGGTGAACTGTCAAAATAGCGAGCAAAGAAAAGTCATTAAAAAAAAGTGAGACACACGTGCTCAAATGATTCATATATCTATAATTAATATTGTTAGTTAATTAAGATTCTATAAATAAACATTTTATTAATACAGAAGGCTTTGATTTAAAACATGGTGGCAGCGGAAATTTGAGCACAATGGACACATCTCTAGCAAATATAGTTGAACAACAAACTGTGCTCTTGAGGTCTATGCAGGAACAAATCGCAAGACTCATACAAAATCCGCAACCGGGACCGGCGCAAAATATAAATGTACCATGGCCATCACCAATAAAAACAAATATAGATCCTGAAGATGCATTCAAAACTTTTTATTCGTCATGGAAAAACTATTGTCGCGCTACACAAATGGAGGAATGGTCGGCCGACCAAGAACCAAGAAAAGTTAGTATATTATTTAGTGCCATAGGTGAGGAAGCTTTAAAAAAATATGGTAATTTCGGAATTACAGACATAGACAAACAAACAAAAACGGCTGAAGATATACTACATAGCATAAGCTCAAAAATGGTACCTAAAAAAAACATCATATACAATAGATATATATTTTTAAGCAGAGAACAAATGCAGTATGAAAATTTTGAAGTATTCCATGCAGATTTGTTAAAATTAATCGAAGATTGCGACTATAAAATATTTAAAGAGGAAATGTTAAGAGATAAAATTGTTTTAGGATTAAGAGACATATCATTAAAAAAAGAATTGTTAAAGAGAGATAACTTAACATTAAAAGAAACTATAAACTTATGCCGTGCAGCTGAAGCCACTGATAGACAAATGAAAGATCTGTCTGTGTCATCTACTTCAGAAATTAAAAAAGTAGAAGAAAAAAAGATTAAAAAAGGCAAATGTAAATTTTGTGGAAATATTCATATATATAAAAAGGAATTATGCCCAGCCTGGGGCAAACAATGTGAAAATTGTAAGGGCAGAAAAAGTGTGTAAAAAAAAGAAATCAATAAAGATGGTGAAGAATGTGACTGACAATGATATCAGTGATCTGACTGATTCGGATACAGATATTGAGTATATTATTAATAAAATTACAAATAATACACATAAAAATGCAGCAAAATGTGTACTAAATTATTTAGTCAATAATAAATGGAAAACAACAGAATGTACATTGTAGTGTCTTATTGGTCTTCAAAATGCCCAACAAATGTTTGGCAAAGACTATGTTAAACAAAAGATACGACCAACTAAGAAACATCTGTTCAGTTTTGGTGGACACCATATTACTGTGCATGGGGAAATAGATATTATGCTAAAAACACAAACTAATAAAAACAATTACTCTCTAACATTCCAAGTTGTAGAAGATAATCATATTCCTCTATTGTCATGTAAGGCTTGCATCCACATGGGCATTGTAAAATTTTGCAAAGAAGTTATAAGTCACTCCCATGACATAGAAGAAACAAACAAAATATTAAATACATATGGATCACTATTTGAAGGCAGAGGGAGTTTTTCAGGTGAAATTGATCTAGAAATTGATCATGCAGTACCACCAGTAATTCAGAAGGCTCGACGTGTCCCTATAGCACTGCGACCAATGTTGAAGGAGGAATTGAGAAGATTAGAGGAGGAGGGGGTTCACTAAAGAAGATAATCACACAGAGTGGGTAAGCAATATTTTAATCATTAAAAAGAAAGACAATTTTAGAATATGCCTAGATCCCATTCCATTGAATAGGGCTATACAAAGACCTAATTATCAGTTCACTACAATTGAAGAAATATTACCAGAACTAGGAAAAGCTAAAGTGTTCTCTACCTTAGACATTAAAAAGGGATGGCATTTAAAGCTATCTGAAAAAGCAGCAGGCTTACTACATTCTGGACTCCCTTCGGTAAGTACCGTTGGAAGGTTCTCCCCTTTGGTATTGCTTCAGCACCAGATCATTTTCAAATAAAAATGAGTGAAATGATTCAAGGATTAAATGGAGTAGAAGCGCTAGTAGATGACTTGCTTGTGTATGGAGTTGGAGATACAATGGCTGAAGCTATCATAGATCATAATAAAAACTTGAAACAGTTATTTGACAGATTAGTTAAATTCAATTGTAAACTAAACAAAGCTAAAACCAAACTTCTTCAGACATCTGTAAAATATTATGGTCATATATTCACTAATAAAGGTCTTCAACCAGATCCATCTAAAATTGAATCAATCACAAACATACCAATACCAAAAAACAAAAAAGAGTTACAAAGGTTTCTGGGTGTTGTGACATATCTTAGTAGATTTATCCCTAATCTGAGTGGTGAATCATTATATCTAAGACACTTGACACATGAAAAAACAATTTGGATATGGCATAAAAAAGCCCAAAAAGAGTTTGACAAACTGAAGTCTATAATATGTAACTTAAAAACATTGAAATATTATAACAAAAATGAACCACTGGTCATTGAATGTGATTCCAGTGAAGGAGCTCTGGGTGTGGCATTGTTCCAGCAAAATCGACCAGTTGCATATGCATCACGATGCTTGACACCCACTGAAAGGAAATATGCACAAATTGAAAAGGAACTCCTCGCAGTGGTTTTTGCCTGCACAAGGTTTGATCAGTTAGTTATTGGCAACAAAAAAACAATTATTAAGACAGATCATAAACCATTATTAAACATTTTCAAAAAGTCTCTTCTTCATGCTCCAAAAAGACTTCAATCAATGCTTTTAATGTTACAAAGATATAGTCTAGAACTGCAATTTGTATCTGGAAAAGAAAACATTATGGCAGATGCATTATCTCGATTTTATTTAGATTGTAAAGATATTGATAAATCAAAAAATATGAAAATATTTAAAATTATAGCAAAAATAAATCCGTTTGGAAAACTTACCCATATCAGACAGCTGTGTTCAAGAAATTGAGAATGCAACATTGAACGATCATAACATGACAGTCCTAAAGAAGTATTTATTACAGGGATGGCCAAAATATTTGAAAGATATTCCCGATGCTATTAAATCATTCTACAACTTAAAAAGTGAGTTAACTCTTTACCACGGTCTTATATTAAAAAACCAGGCTATAGTGATACCTGAAAGTTTAAGAGAAAAAATGTTAAATAAACTGCATAAGGCACATTCAGGAATCGAAAATACCTTAAAGCTAGCCCGAGATGCAATCTTTTGGCCATCTATGTCCAATGACATTAAGGACCTAATTAAAGGTTGCACATCAAGTATAAAACATCAACCAAGTCAACAAAAATTTACTATGCAAAGTCACAAAATACCTGAATATCCATTCCAAATAATATCTATGGATGTTTTCTTCTTCAATGAAAATGGAAAACAGTCAAAATATTTAATAACGGTTGATCACTACTCGGATTTTTTTGAAATTGATAAGCTTAAAGATTTATCATCTAAACCAGTAATAGAAGCCTGTAAAAGAAATTTTTCACGTCACGGTGTGCCAGAAATAGTAATTACGGACGGTGGAACTAATTTCATTAATCAAGAATTTTCAGCTTTTAGTAAAAAATGGAATTTTATACAAGTAACATCTTCTCCCCATCACCCTCAAGGAAATGGTAAAGCTGAAGCAACAGTAAAAATAGCAAAAAAACTGCTATTGAAAGCTACAGAAAGCGGAGAAGATTTCTGGTCAAGTCTACATTGCTTAAGAAATACTCCTAACAAAATAAACTCTAGTCCTGTACAAAGATTATTTTCACGTAGAACAAGAGGTTTTTTACCAGTTATTAAAGATTTGCTAAAACCAAATGTAATCAAAAATGTAGCAGAAACTATTAAGAGTAACAAGGAAATGATCAAATACTCTCATGATAAAAAAGCAAAAAAAGCAACTACATTAGAAATAGGACAACCCGTAGTAGTTCAGATTCAACCATCTTCAAATAAATCTTGGACTCCAGGAATAATTGCAGATATTCTTTCAGATCGATCATATCTTGTTGATATAAATGGGACAACTTACAGAAGAGACTTAATACACATACGTCCATTTTTACCAAATTTATTAGATAAACCCCATAAGCAAGATATCACTGATATGACTACAAATATTCAAGAAAATATCATTTTAGAAGACGTGCAAAACATTGGCGAAAATATCGTTTCTTCAGAAGCTATGATGCTTTCATCGCCAGTTGCTGATCCTTCAATAGATTACTTTAGTTCTCAAGATGAATTGTCGTCTCTTCAACCAACGACCAATTCTCCTATAAAGAAAACAACTACCCCTGCAGACAACAAGCCAAGCAGACCTAAAAGAGAAACAAGAAAACCAACATATCTAAATGAATATGTTTGCTAGCCTTTTAATCAGTTATCCTTATGTAGAGGGTAAAGTTTAAATGCTTATTTTTAAGTTATATTGTCTAATATTGTAAATTTGTAATACTTCTATTCAGTTGGAATATTTTACTCAGTTTTGTTGCTGCATCGTAATAGTTCTTTATTTTTGTAAAAAGACAACGTGTTGAATATATCTATGGCCATACCATAAATAAAGAAAAGTAAGGCGATGACAGGTGAACTGTCAAAATAGCGAGCAAAGAAAAGTCATTAAAAAAAAGTGAGACACACGTGCTCAAATGATTCATATATCTATAATTAATATTGTTAGTTAATTAAGATTCTATAAATAAACATTTTATTAATACAGAAGGCTTTGATTTAAAACAACATGTGTTCAGAACAGTCGTGACGAACAAATTTTTCTACGTAATATTGTCTGTATTCCCTTTTTGTGAGTAGGTTTTATATTATTATTTGTAATACAAAGAGTTTATTAGCTACTGTAACTTATATTTAATGTCGAGAATTATGAGCTTAAAAACGTGGTAATACGTAGAATAGAGATTAGCACAATTTTTAGTATTATAGACACAATTTTCTTCTCGATTGGCAGTTCTTTCATTGTTTTAATTGTACGTATCTAATTCTATAGAATTAAATGTGAAAACAGTACGATTGGTCTAAAGTAAAAACAAATAAACATTATCAGATTCCCTAGAGATCATTAAAGCACTTGTGTTTCTAATATAGTGCATACTTTTGTTATGAGTAGGTTGTAAGTGGATACTTACCGAGTAATATTTCTAACTACAGGAATTTTGAGATTTTTCTCTGGAAAAATACGACCTTCGTGTCCCAATCTTTGAATATTCGTAATGGCCTGATGCATTCGTTCCAGCGTGAGACGCGATAAAAAAAAGCGAATGTCGAACTGAGCATTTAAATTGTAGTATTTCTGAAAACTAAAATGAACAATGTGTTTCAGTATAATAATTATAAATTAATAATCAATAACATCATTAATCGTCCAGATCTAAATTATGGCAGAGATATCTTGATTTTAAATTTTAATTATTCATAGGCGATATCAATTGCGGACATTTACAATGCTCGTATCTATGTATCCCACCAATAACCGATATCTAGATATAGAGCGGGAGATGAACATGCTGTTTAACTATACGAGTGAAACACTTGCGGACTAAAAAAACAAAAATTTAAAAGCAATACAATAATTAACTTTAATATATTGTTACAATGACACAACAAAAGTGCATAAATAGAGGGGTATGTATTATAAATATATATATCAACGTCGCCCTGTATGACATCGACATATGGTTAATGTAGAGGTACCGCTCGATATCAGTGATGCATAGTTTATATCTGTAATGTGTCAGTATACTGCATTTGTCGATTCCAATCGATATCTACAAGTAGTTATCTAATATAAACAGATATACTACAGATATTTTTATATCTAATCTCGTAAACAATTCCTACACGTAGTTGTTAGTGCTGTCTATATATATTACTCATACCATTAATTTCACCATATCATGATAAGTTACGAAAAGAAAACCGCGAAATAACTTACATCGAGTTATTTCGCGAAATAATTTTATAAAATTATAATTACTCTTTATGAAGACCACTTATTTCCACTATATTGTTCTCCTTTATCATCGTAACCACAGCTTCAAACATTAAGTCATCGCCACTTTGAGGTTTAACAAATAATAGATCACCTGTAATTATTTTAAAATAGTTTTAGGTTCCTAATAAATAGCATTTGATACATATATCTCATTTAAATAATAACAAATAAATATTTTGGAAAACTTTTAGGTGAAAAACCACGCAAAACGAAGTATTAGGATATAGGAGGTAGTTTTATTTATGTAATTTGAATGGCAAGCAAGCTGACGGACCGCTTGGTGGTAAACGGTAACCATTGTCTACATATAAACAAGGGACTATAGTAGTCTAGACATAAATTTATCATACGACAACCGTGATAGGTACCAGTCATTCGTTGCCATTCCAGAGGACTATGATATCATGTATGATCCTGTAATTTCACTGCCTAATCAGAACCTACAAGAGAAACAGCTTACAAAGCAAGCCGCTTGACGGCAGAAACAGGTAAGACACTGGAGGTACACACTCCGGCAACTTTATACAGTCTACCTCTCGTAGTTCGCTTACGAAGTGTGTAGTGTGTAAGTACTTATCTAGTATTGCTTCTTTATGTCTACAGTTTTTTATATCATATATATATATATATATACAGAACGTACAATGACACAATTATACATATACAATAAACGATTTCAGCAATCTAAATCTCAGTATAATAATTTTAAAATATAAACGTGTTGGCAATTAGCTGTAAGTTTATATTGTTTTAATTAAATAAATAATTTGGTAACAAATTCAAAATGCGATAAGAAATCGTAGTCATTAGCAATACAGTAATGAATTTTTCTTTTGGCACCGGCGATTTGCGATTTTTAGTTTTTTTTTGACGCGTTCTAAAAAAAGTAGTAATTTAGGAACAGGATTACAGGATCAGGAGAGCAGGAAATTGTTGTGAAAAATACACCAATATATTTGTAATGTTTAAAATGGGTTGTAGGGTTGTCTCTCAATAACATAATTTCTAGTTTACCTATTAACAATGATGGTCGCTTCACTATTTGGCCTGGAACTGAAAGATAGTATCTATTACCATCTTCGCTTCGCAGCATAGTGACGTCTGACATATTGTAATTCTGTTAGTAAAATTAGATTTTGTCATATTATTTTATTATAACATGGACGCTTTCTCACAGGTGGCATTCTAAAATACTTAATGTGTACGTTGATAAGATGCCAATGACGGATGAAGGGATTAGTATAGAATCCTGTAGTATAGAATAGTGGTCCTTTATGGCAGATTCCCAAAAATATTAACCACGATGTTTTCCAGGCGGGACCGCGTGGAGGTTAACCTGATAGTGTACTTTGCTAAAATAGAGTCCACTAGTTCTCATACATAACAATCCCCTAATACTACACCAACTGACTCTATTTCATCTCCATACTGTCATACATAGGTGTGCATCTAGACGTCACAATATTGAATACAGGGGGGAAGGAAATTGTTATTAATGTGAACTAATGACCCCATTACTAGCAATGCCGTTCCTCCTAGAAACCATCGTGGTGAATTTATATGAATTTGACACGATGGGCTAACTGACCTGAATTCATTCTCCACTGTGGCCCCGCCAGGGTAAACCAGTAGCACAGGCGGTTCTACTCCATTATTATTAACAAAAGTAAGGAATAAATACATATTCTGACATCAAAATTAATATTCTGTAACATTAAGTTTCCACGTACCTTATAATTAGATTTCACAACAGCTTCCTCGTACCATAACAAGTACTGAAAATATTTTCTGTAATTTTCTTTTGTTACACCCACGTCAAATACATCCCTAAAAATGTTAAATATTTAATAGAATTATTTTTAAATAACAATTATTGAATGTTTCTGGTTTATTTTCTATTTTTATTCATTATCTATTAACGTTATCGAATAAATTTAGAAACCAACCTCACACTTTTGGCCTTTGCTTTGTCTTCCTCTGGTGCTGTCTCGCTTACTTTTAACCCACTCGTGAATATTGCTTTATATTCTGGCGGAATTCGATGCTTATCATCGCTGTGTCTGAAAAAAGGTCCATAAAATTGCATTTTCATTTAAGTATACGTAAATTGTTTATTAAAAAAATATTTATTTTTTAACTAACTAAATAATCCTTTGAAGGAATATGGTACTAAAGGTCTTTGTAAGTAGGTATGTGATTTGATCCGTACACATTTTTACATGTAGATTGTATTTTTTTTTTGTATAAATAATAAACCAGTTACCAGTAACTTCGTATTCCTTTAAAAGCCTTAAGATAGTCTGTGTCCTCGTTATAAAATCTACCTTCATGTAAAATTTCATTACGATTCATACGAATTGAAAATAATAGTATGGATTAATAATAAATGTAATTTATATTAAGAGTAAGGGTAATAATATTATTTAACAACAAACATTCAAATTGTATAGTAAAATTGCGAGTTTATAGATAACTAGCTACTCGCCCCGGCTTTGCACGGGTGTATATGTATTATATATATAAACCTTCCTCTAAAATCACTCTATCTATATAAAATACCGATTCAAAATCCGTTGCGTAGTTATAAAGATTTAAGCATAAATAGGTACGTATAGACAGCGACAGCGACTTTATATTATACTATAAATAGATGATGAATATCTACTGTATACATACCTTATTAAGGTAGTTTTGACTAAATTCTTCGCTACCACTTCTTTCTTAGTATAAGGACTTATCTCTTTTTCGTGGGTAGTTGGAGTGTTCTCCACATAAACTGCCTAAAATATACAATTCTTCAAATCCTTAAATTTTATATATATTAATATAATTATATACTTACCGGTACTGATAATTGTCCTATGGCAGATTGCAAAAAAATATTTTATATTATGGACAAAATCAACATTTATTTTAAAAACATTTTTATAGGATGCTACGTTTTCAGAGATAAGTTATATTTTAATTTTAAAATTTAGGACCCCAATAATAATTGTACCCGTATAAAGAATGGGTCGCTAAAAAAAAAGTAATGGTCGCAATTCGACTGCAATTCATTTAAATTTTAAGTTTGAACGATATTATACTTCTATTGTATATTGAATGAATATATATACATATATATACTAGCTGTCCCGGCAAACGTTGTTTTGCCATATAAATTAATAACGCTATAAAAAAATAGGGGTTGATGATAGAAGGGTGAAAACTTAGGATTGTCTGTATTTTTGTATGTTGTATGATTAAAAAAAACAGAAACTAAAAATTTTGTCTAAGAAAAAAAAAAAATTAGGGGTGGACTACCCCTAACATTTAGGGGGATGAAAAATAGATGTTGGCCGATTCTCAGACCTACTCAATACGCTCACGAAATTTCATGAGAATAGGTCAAGCCGTTTCAGAGGAGTATGGGGAATAGGGATATAGGGAACGAAAACTGTGACACGAGAATTTTATATATAAGAATATATACGAGAATCTCGTTATGTAAACAAATGCTTACCACATCTCGCACTATGATGCTGACTACATTTGTCCTTAAGTTACGTAACGAGAAGAATACGGGTACTTCATATTGGCCGATGTGTGCAGTTTCGAATTTTACTGATACTGCTTTTTTTATTTCTGTATCTGGAATAATAAAATTTCTTCAGTTTTTATTCGCCTTCCCGTTATTGTTTTTATTGTAAAATGAAAATGTCGTCGCTCATAGGTTACAGGCGCAGCACAATGAATATTACGCAATCGGGTTGTTTAGAACCTTTGTTTTGTAGTTACGCTGCATAAACTGCCATATGGCCAAGATATGTAACCTCACAAAGGGCATTTGTAATATTAGTATGGGCAAGAACTTTTAAGATCATGTACATATTGTTATGTTAAATTTAAAAGAGAATTAGAGAGTAAATTTTACACACCGGATATAATTTTACATTTTAATTGGTACTATGATATCTAAAATTATTTTAATTACAATCAGCATTAGCAGTTTATGAAATATATCACTGTGAAAAAATTACAGACCACACGGCGCCATAAGGGTTCCGTTTTTTTTTCAGAGGCCCAATTTCCACAGTTTTGGTTTTTAAATTGCCCTCCTTACACGCTCTTCAAAAAGATGTGAGTGTATTATATAGAAATTAAAACTATTAGACGAAAATTAAAAAAAAAATTCGTCGGTTTAAAAACATATATTAGAAGCTAGGGAGGGCACGTGTCCAAACCGTATCCATGAAGGCATTCTTATTATAACATAATTAAATTATAACATCAACTTACTTGGTTTTAATTGTTGTAAATCTAAATGATAACTTATTCGGAAATTCGTTTTCGAATGCAGAATTTGTATGAATACTACACGAAATTCATCAGTCTTATTGTAATTCAATAATGTAAAATTAAACTCCACTTTTTCGTTAGGTTTAGCCTGAAAACATTTCGCTTAGTATTAATATATTTTAATATAATATTATATTATTGCAAATATTGTTACGATGTTATAAATATATAATGTTAAAATACATAATAGGTACATGGTAATAATAAAGACATTATCAACTCTGGCCATGAGATTTTTTTTTTCTTTGTTATTTTTTTATGTGGAATTAAATTACTGGAATGGAAAGCATTACCGTCCACCTAAAACGGATAAAGAGGACTAAGGTATGCCTCCGTGCCCAATAATTCCATAGCTCACTCTTCAATCGAAATAGCTTGGTAGCAAGTGCTTTACGGTTGCATGTAGGTATTCACGCAGACTTTTAAAAAAATCTGTCGTTAAAAAATGGCCGCAAGCGGATTGTATTTTGATTTTATATAGGTACATAACGCGATATGTTCGCCAAACTTGGAACTATTTTGGTGACTCTATTTGCAATCCGTAGTTGTTCATTTCAGTGTTGGTACTAATAAATCTTATTTATTATGAAGTAGGGCTAATTGCTTTGCATGATTTAAAAAAAATTACTTACCGATAATGTTATTCTACCTTCAGAATATTTCTGATGTACTGAAAAAGAAGATCTTGCATCGCATTCTATGACAATACCGTTACGATTTTTAACAAACTTCTTCCTGCAATCAAGAAAGAGAAACCTAAAGTGTACCAAAGAGTAAAGAGGACCGAGTAGGTAACGACAAAGTAATTAAATTGTGAAAGTTCTTTGAATTTTATAACCTATTATTAAAAAAAAACATGTAATTTTTTTATACCACTATATTTTGAAATAATTATATTATAAAAAAATTTACAGCTTTGATATGATACTCCACGTGCAGCTCTCCTACTCAGTTACAGGGACTATATTGATACTTCTATTTTAGACCCTCTTGTACATTTTTAAATTAGACATTGAAAATGTATATCAATATTTAGTGAAATAAATATTGCGTATTACAAGAGGTAAGGTAGATAGATGAGGATGGATCGTTTGAAGGATGATAACCAAAAAAAAAGACTAAGCTCAGAAATGATAGTTCCATATTACGCCACAAATATTACAATAAAAGCAAGTAATGAAGATTAGAACAATATAATAAATATTGCGACTAGTAGGTAATATAATAATTGAAAATGAGTAAAAGAGATTATATGATGATGACATACTTGTTGGACGAGTACTCGTGCAAAATTTTGTTTCTCTGATGTTTCAGTGTTTGTTCATGGTCTGGATTTATGTTCTTTTCTGAACAAATATAACAATTCTTCATTTTCGTCATCTGTAATAGAATTACGTAAGTTTTATAACATAATTATTTAAGTAATACTAACGGCCCGCCCTGGCTTCGTGAGGATGTCCATAAATTCTGTACATCATATGTGTGTGCATAATATATATTTAAATGATGAATTGCGCAGGCAGTAGACCATTCCGGTCTACTGTCTGCGCTAACGGAATACACTGGCAGGGCACATTAGAGGACGATAGGATGAGTTATCTAATATAAAGATGATGATAATAAAGACAGTTACTCCATCGCGAGAAACTCACCAGGAATTACCTACGATTCCGGGGAATAAAGTGGAGGTAGTCCTGACGTGTGGATATTAGCAATGGTGCCACTATTCTATTACTAATCCCCTCAATTTCATATAGTTTATCTAATTATCAAATAATTACAAAAATCATACTCTTTAATTTTCATCGTAAAACGTGTATTAGCCACATAAGACCACCGAGGTAGTCAAATAAGACCTATAAGTAGGTACTAAATTTTAATCGTAGTCATGTTACCCGTTCACAGATTACTGAGTGTTTACACTTTACTGTGTATATAAAACAGCGTTCTCAGAACTTTATTTCGCTGACAACGAACACTATCAAGTTACCAGTTATACAATTCTAGCTACATAACGTTATACATATACAAAATATTAGTAATGTGAAACGTGCAAACCGTAACCAGACAGGATTGATATTTTTTACAATTAAAAAAGTTGGATGGAACAAAAACATGCAATATAACAAAAAAGTCAGGTTTGATAGTAAACAGTGCACACTGGTAACAGCTATTTTTAATCAAATAATACCTAACTTACTTACTAGATAGTATTATGTTATCTGTACTATAATATAGTGATGGAGTAATATTAAAACGTGCCACCGCTCAGGATTAGTAATGGCACATTGTATTAATTTTTATAGTATTTAGGTAATGGAGGGCCTATCTATGTATGAGGATAGCGATTTGGAGAATAAACAGTACAAACTAAACAAAGGAAATCTCGAACCTTTCGAAGCGCCCTGGCTAGCGTGCCAACAGTTGGCAATAAGGAGATCCGTGAGCAGTAGATGAGCAGTAGATGGTTGGTTATGATGAGCATGAATACATCTATTAGTATGTACTTATGTATATTCCCGGAATAATGTGATTTTATGATAAACCGTCAAATAGCCTCAAAAAATCCACGGTTTTCACATATTTTGTGAGCACATTATAATCTAAGTACTTTGTAGTCCGTGTGTACGTACACGTACCTAGATAACGTGTAATCGAGTTTGTTCTTAATCGATAACGCAGCAGGATTCTTACTTAATTCATTCTGCTTCGGAAAGAATATAAAGACCTTTGAAAATTTGAAAAATGTTGTTTTTTTTATTAATTCCATTACACATGTTCTTCCTTCCTACAATCCCAATGGTTTTAAATATAAATATTTGCAGACTCCCTTATTTCTCTTGGTTAGATCACAGTATTCATTTAGTATCAGGTGGATAATATGTTTATTCGATAAGAAGAATATTATGGTTTTCAAAATATAGTGTAGGTACTAAAAACGTAGATGTAACATGTAGAATCGGGACACAAATAGTAGGTATGGGATCGATACAAGTGTAAACGTTTGCATAATAGTTTGCCCTAAGTTAGGGTGGTCAACTTTACAAAAAAATCTATGAGAGACTCATGCAAGGTGATATGTAATATTTTATTAAATATTATATTTCGGAAGTATAATTGTCACTAGCTGTGCCCGCGACTTCATCAACGTGTGACAAATAAAAAAAATCAAACACATAAAATGTAAAATATAAGGATCCTTCTAGCTTCAAAAACGTTAATTTACCATACAAACTTTCATTCCCTATTTTATTTTACCCCCTTAAAGGTAACATTTTTACAAACTTTGAATGTGATGTGTGTTTATATTTAGATAATCAACAACCTAAATATAAGTAAAGCCTCTAGCTTTAAAAATGACGTTTTGACGAATTTCATACAACCGTACTTCTCCTCTTTCAATCCTTTACAACCCTTTTTTCACATTAAAAAGCCTATGTCCGTGCTCCGGATCTATACTCTCTATGTACCAAATTTCATTTAAATAGGTTCAGTAGTTTTGGCATGAAAGCGAGACAGACAGACAGGGTTACTTTCACATTTATAACGTTAGTAAGGAAGTAAGGATTACGGGGCTGTCCCGCGAAAAGTGGGGCGGCCTGGTCGCCTTAAACCAAGTTATCGTGTTATACAAAGAAATACAGTATTTATTGCATTGTATTATACTCACTTATCGCATTGTATTATGTTCATATTTCCGCCCTTTTATGTAAAATCACTAGTTCTAATAATATTATATTTCAACTGATCACTACCTACTCGCACTCATAAAATATTATATTCAACATTTGTAATCAACAGAAATTGCAATAATCCTTGCCGAAACAATTAAATCATTATTAATGTAAGAAAAAAAACGTTCGACAGGGGGATAAATGCATCGAAAATGTTATTTTACATGCACTAATTTATGTAAAATACTACAGTTACCTTTATTAATCCTTTCCAAGAAAGGAAACACAAAGCTTAGCACAAAATACAAACACACGTGCGAAATGGTGGGCTTCACTTGAATAATAAATGCTGTTATAATTCTTGCTATGTAGCGCTATCAGCAATAAGTGACGTCACATTGAGTGAGTAACTGAGTACTAGGGTTCATTCCCGGGAAATCAAGCTCGAGAAAAGTCGAGAACTCGAGAAATCAAGTACCTATATAGAAATTAAATTGACGTTTGTTGTATTGCGTGGCGGCGCAATAATACTAGATATTAAGGTTTTCTTTCATGTATTTTTTTTTGTTTTACAGAAACTATTTTTGTTTACAAGTTTAAGGTAGATTTTTTCTAAATAACCAGCCAAAAATGGTGCTGTCATTATAAATATAAGTCTGAATAATATTAGGTCCTAACATATGAAAGTGGTGTTTTGTAAGGGAATAACCTGAAGTATTTTTTTTCAAAATATAACATGTTTTTTTAATCAAACTATGTATCATTGCTATTTATGCACTTTTGCCATCTCATAGGTACTTCATTGATCCCTTTACTGAAAAAAAATTTGAACGGGAACATTTGGACATCATAAATCATCAATAAAATCTTTGTAGTTTGGACTGCCTCATCGGATTTGAATTTTTTCCCAATCAGTTATTCAAATTTCGAAAAAAATGGTAATCTGTTGGAGCAAGATCCGGGGAGCAATTGTAAAGTCTTAGACATTACAATTGAATCTCTTCTAATTTGGTAAATGTCAGTTGTGCAGTGTGTGGTCTAGCGTTGTCCTGAAGCAGCAGTAGCCTACGGCGATAGACCAGCCTCGGTTGTTTAGCAGCTAGCTTTTCCATTTTGGTTTCTCAATTGCTGACAACACACATCTGCCGTAATCATCTGGCCAGATTTAAGAAAGCTGAAGTGAACAACACCGGAACTAGTCCACTAAACGCTCGCAAGTAACTTTTTTTGGGTCAATTTTCGCTTGGGGCAGGATTTGGTTGGTTTGCCAGGGTTCAGCCATTGCGATGAGCGTTTCCAATTATAATACAAGATCCACATCATCACAGGTTCGATTTAAAATCCCTTTATTATTATGCCGGTTGACTAATGTAACGCAGCAGTCTACGCGAGTTTGTCGATCGAAACGCGAATTGTCTACTCAATCCATGAGGGACCCACCTTTTAAGCTTTTTCGCCCTCCCAATTTGCTACAAGTGGATTAATACAGTTTTGTCACTAACACCGCAACCTGAAACTAACTCTGACGTGGTTTGTGATGGATCTGCTATCATAATTACCAACCTTGGACTCCAGCCGCCCACGGGGATTGTTTTGCAGGTCGAAATTTCCAGAACGAAAACGTTGCAAATACATTGTGCATTGCATTGTGTTTTCTTTTGCGACACCACCACCATACACATCATTAATCCTTCGAGCCGTTTCTGCAGCATTAGTGCCATGGCGGAACTCGTACTTGTACTTGTAAATGACGCGATATTTTAAGTTTTCCATTTTGTAAGCTGAGTGACCCAAAGAAAAAACAAAGCACATGTATCACGGTTTTCGAAAAACAAATGCATGAGTGAATAGCCGTATAAATTTGAAATTGAAATTTCTAACCAAAGAGGAGATATTTAAGATCAGTGGCCAGTACGACAAAACGCTAATTTCATATTTAAGAACTTAATATATTTCAGTATTTAAAAAAAAATGGCTTATTCATTATATGTATAATGTTTTTAAATATATCTACTCAATAAAAGTTTTATAATGAATTTTATAGTTAAATTTTATAATTAATATTTAACAAAAATGCAGTGGTTTTCGTCTCAAATGAAACCACTGAGTTTTTTGACGTTATTGGGACAAAAAATAAACCAAACGTACGTAAATGTAAATTTCTCGACAACCCGAGAAGACCCGAGAAATTAACCTCGAGAATTCTCGAGACCCGAGAAATTGAAAAGCTCGAGAAATCATGAACCCTACTGAGTACATACTTATTTATAAGAGTGAAACTAATGTTTGGCCGCCATTCTGCCCGTAATATTATTTAATGCTAGCTGTTATCCGCGACTTAGTTCGCGTATAATATTTTTTGTTTTTAATTATCAATTATTCTAAAATGAAAGTAGTTTAAGTTACTTCTTACAACATTAATATCTGAGTGAAAATCCTGTGAATAGTAGTGGCTATTTGAGTCTATCATCCCTTTTTTACTTGGAGAAAATCCCTCATGTAGAACCACCCGACCGACCCGAGGAAGCCGGTCGGATTCGCTTTTAATGGGCAAAACTTATATTTTTGTTAAAGTTTATTTCAAAATAATAGCCGTAGTGTAACGAACTACGAACTTTGTTGTTTGTAAAACCAATATTCAATTACCATATCCGAAATAATACGAGATATTAAAGTACAAATTAACAATATTTGTATACTTACCAATTTCACTTTCTCAAATAAACGATATTTAAAACAGATACTTAACTAAAATGAAATTACGAAAAACAGTTTGGTTATTCGGACGGAAATAGGTCTAATGAATTCAGATAGAGCAGACTAGCAGAGTAAAGTTTGATAAAAAAAAACCTGCCATAACCTAAATAGAACTACACATAGAACCCTCTAGTATACTTACTTTTCTCTTTGGAAAGAACTCTAGGATTATTTACTGCAAACATGAAATCAAAATCTGTTTGATCTGTGCTGTATACGTAAGTGAATTCAATTAATCAATTATTTGTGAATTGCGATAGACATGACTATACCTAACACGTGTGAGTATATACTGACGTCTATAAATATACCGCTATTAAATATTCCGTATAGGACAATATACTCCTATATTTATTTTATTTTATTACGTTTTCTAAGCTTATAATTAATTTAGATATATGTTAGTTAGGTATGCTACTTTACATGTCATCTGCGGTCTCCGGTTAGTTGTCGTTGTCACTGTCATAACTATTGAGAAATCTATTGTTATTGTATACCGGTGTGTTGATCGTAATTATTTATGTGGATACTAATAAAACAGTTTAATGTGAATCATCTTTTTAATATAAGAAATAATACCCTATTAGTCTTTCTTTCAAGTAGCGACATCTGTGCAGTCAACTGGAAACTATTTTGCAATAGAATTACCAATTAAAATTAACAGATGGTAATAAATTTGAAATTGTGCACAAATTGGGGAATTCCCTGAATTTCTACACAATAACAAAATTACGGAATAGTAGACGGAACTAGCATTACAATGATATTTCATTTTTTTTATTGCTGAACTGAAATGGACATTTTCACCAATATAAGTTTTAGCTGTTGCTGCGACTTCGTCCGCGTAGAATTTAACTTTATTTTTCTAAAATAAAAGTGGCCTAACTTGCTGCTTATTACATCACCTACCTGTCAAAAAAAGTCCCGTCAAAATCGGTCTAGCCATTTCAGAGATTAGCCGGAACAAACAGATAGACAGACAGACAAAAATTGTAAAAAAATTTAATTTGGTGTATGTACCGTATTCATATGCATATAGTAAAAAAAGGTTATTTCAATATTACAAACATACTCCAATTTTGTTTATATGTATAGATGTATATATACCTACCCTGTAACATAAACGGTTTTTTAACGTGTCAAAAATCTCTGAATGTCCGTCCCCCGGTCATAGGTTAGACGAGCGTGTATGTAGGAGTATTACACACCAAAATTAACCATTTCACACGGTGTAACTACGAGGCCTTTGCCAGAGTCACAAGGTCGCCTTAGCACTTCACCGCGATTCCGACGTTGTCGGCCTACCCGTTGTAGGGCAGAGCCCATTTCATTTTGTGCCGACCTATTTTGTTCTACTCAATTGTGGAGACGTGTGGATACACGTCCACACCCCTGGGTCCGTCTAGTTTAGGCGCTGCCTGCCTCAAGGAGAGCATCGTAGTCTAATGGGGGAATAGAGGTGGGGTGTAGTCGGGTACGCCGGGCGTTGTCCCGTAACCTAAATTATTGTGAGATTTTTTAAATGTCTATAAAGTTGTGTGTTCTATATTTTTTATGTAAACAAATACACGGCTTACTTATTGAAGCGGTGACTGTCGCATGTTATAAAATACATACAAAATTAGTACATCATAAAGTCTTATTTCATTTAAGTGTATCTAAGCACCTATGTACTAGTGCTTACACTTAAATGAAAAGCAATGATATTCCCAAGTACTAAGGTACTATATCGGGTAAGAGGTAAAATTACGAACACTACCGAGTCGAAATACTAGCGAAGCACTCTACTTCTAAGGGAACTAATATTAAAATGGGCGTTCCTCAAGGTTCAATCTTAGGCCCATTTCTCTTTTTAATTTATTGTATATAAATGACCTTCCCTACATGGTAGAGAAAGTTGCAGATATAGTGTTATTTGCGGTTGGTACTTCGTTAGTGTTTAAAATTGGTCGCCAATGTAATCAAATAGACGATGTAAATTATGCTATCTCTGCTATATTAAATTGGTTCACATGTAATAAACTATTATTAAACTCCAACAAACTAAGTGTATTAAATTTACGCTTCCTAATGTAAGACAAGTAAATACGCAGCTATTGCTTAATGATGAAATAATAAATTTTGTTAATGATACAGTTTTTTTAGGAATAATAGCGGAATCGAAGTTACAATGGGGGCCATATTTCAAAATTAGCCAATAGACGTACTTCTGATGAATTATGAATTATGAAATTAAAAGGATAAGGCAATTAACAGACGTGGCGACGGCAAAACTTGTATATTTTAGTTATTATAGCATTATGTCATATGGAATGCTGTTGTGGGGTAAAGCTGCGGAAGTAAATATTATATTTATTTTACAAAAGAGAGCCATACGCTCTGTTTATGGTATGGGTTCTAGAGAGTCATTACGTCAATGCTTTAAAGAATCAAATATCCTCACCGTTGCCTCACAGTACATTTATGAAAATATAATGTATACAAGGAAAAACTTAGATAGTATCAAGAAACGACTTTAAAGACAATAGGTCAAAATAAGCTAATTATACCTAAATGCCGTCTACACAAAAATAAGCTAATTATACCTAAATGCCGTCTACACAAAGTTCTATGGTAAATGCGTAAGATTCTATAATAAACTGCTAGAAGATTCTATAATAAACAAATGTTATGTAATAAAGCCTATTATAGGGTAGATGAATTTATAGATGATAGCAATATCTAGCAAGAATAAGTTTATTTGCGAACAACATTATAATTTGTTTTTCATACTGCTTTCTTGATATATGATAGCGTAGCGGCTTTTGTATTGATTGTCGCATGCATCCTGATGTAAAGTGCGAATACTGTAACTACCATATATTAATTTAAAGTAGCTGTCATGTGGTTGAGTGGATGGCGGCGTAGTGGGCCGGGTCATTGGGCTCCCTGAAATATGGTCAAGCGCAGTGATGGCTGGTTCATCCGTCATACTCGTGAACGAGTGCTGCTTGTAGGGACTGGTCTGCTCTTATCACTACGACTGATTTAATCTTATTGTATATTTATATTTGACCCAAAAAATTTGTGTTGGTTTACCAACCAGCTAATTTTTTGGGTCAAATACATGTCGAAATCAATTGGGTCAAATACAAACTACCTTTTTTATTCACACGTTTCGACTTGTAAATGTAAACTTACAAGGATTATTTAAAAGAGCAACACACAAGTTTCTTGCACTTTCTTCTTGTGATGAAACAGCTTTCCGAACGAGCGGTAGATAAAAAAATTGTTATGACTATTCAAAATAAATGATTTTCTATTCTATTCTATTCTACTTCTTTGAATTAGTTTTTTTTTATCGTGCATACAGCTGACATAATAAATATGATAATATAATCACATTATCGAAAGAAATTTTGGCATTTACTGCCGATATATAGGCATATCTTTAGATAAGATTATTATTAGACATTACATTAAAGAACCTATAGTATCGGTCGATTGTTGCCAGTATGAAACAGTTTCTACACCAAAAAAAACGTTATTTTATTCTATTAAATAATATTGATGGCTGTGGAGGTATAGTAGTTCAGCAGTCTTAATTCCGATGGTCTAGATTTCGATTCCTCGCATGATACAAAAAATGTATTTATGATTATTCAATCAATTCAATTTGTGATAACTTCAGTCTGAGCTAAGTGTAGATACCTATAACTTTTATCTCCTGTATTATCATCGTTCGTCACTTAGTCAAGAATTATTAGGTCATCATGTTTTATACCATATCACAAATAAATTAAACTTATAATGAGAGTCCAGTATGATTCAATATTTTAGCAAAGACTTTAGTTATTGATGTATTTTCTGTACCTACCTCAGTCATTCGATAATACATGAATAAACAAAATTTTTTCAATATAAATAAATTTATTTAATATACTTACAAGTGTAATTCTTTGCAAATGTTATGCAAAGATAGGGTAATCTACATAAGTAGTAGTGACTCCATTGCTACTCCAGTGTACGAAACAAATAAATAGATTTAACAATTAATTATTGATTAATTTATAAGTAGCTACTAACAAAAAAAAAATATCAACTGATTTATTTGGTCCCATCTATCATTCTAATCTAAATATAAATAATTCAAAGGTGATTGGCTGACATAGTGATCTCTCAAAGCACAGCCCAAACCACTATACGTATCGGGCTGAAATTTGGTATGCAGCTAGATTTTATTACGTAGGCATCCGCTAACAAAGGATTTTGATTAATTCTACCCCCAAGGGGATAAAATAGGGGACGAAAGTTTTTATGAAACTTTGTCAATTTTAAACCAATCGGGCTGAGACTTTGCATGCATAAACTACTATGACGTAGGCATCCCCTATGAAAGGATTTTGATAAATTCCATAGATAAGGAGGTAAAATAGGGGATGAAAGTTTGTATAAATCTTCTTAGATTTTCGACTGATTGAACTGAAATTAAAGATTGGAGCTACTATGATGAAGACGTTCGCTTTAAATAGGATTTTGATAAATTCAACCCCCATGGGTATAAAATAAAGGATGATATAGGATGTAAATGTATTAGTTTGAACCTATCTGTACCTAATGGAAAGAATAAATTAAGACGAACAAAATAATTTTTAGTTCTTTAAGCTACTTTTGTTTTAGAAAAATAAAGTTAAATTTCACGCGGAAGTGGTCGCAGGAACAGCTAGTTTATAATAAAACTAACATATAGAATTTTTATTGGTCTGTGGTAATTTTTTAACGTTTCTCGACATACTTGACAAATTCTTGTGTCCCGAGTAATAATTGTTTCCAATCTAATTGTGGTGTTGTGTTAAAAATGATTACCTTCGCCGGCTTGTTTAATAAGATGATAATGAATCATGTATGGCAGTATCTAAGGATGTTTAAATTTAAATACAGGCTTATATTTTGGTAGTTTGCAATTCCACGAATGTGTGCTAAGGATATCATGTATATATTCAGAGCAAGTTTATTAAATAAAAGAAAATTGTGAAGAGTCAATAGTTTAATGTATCTATCATCACATTTTTGTATCTATTTCATCATAGTGTTAAAATATAAAGTCTATTTTTTCTTATTTCCTAAGAACAAATTTACAATCAAATAATTACTTATCTAATTACAAAAATATAACTAGCTAATTCTTATAAATGGCACGGATTAAAATTTAGTTTAAATATCACAGTTTAAACCTTGTCAAATACATTTAACATATTTCATAACAATTCATTTAAATTATACAATTTCACACACTGAGATCTGAATTTCTGGAGATTAAAAATGATCACTGGTTTTGGTGTATCGTAATATACATACTTTTTAATAACAGAGTATTAAATATAATTGTAATGCATGTAATTAAGGGATATCTGAAAAAAGATTCACTTAGTACAATTAACTATAATAGGTACTCTTTAGAGAACCCGCATGATCATTTGCAATCCACAACTAAATATAGTTATGACAAACATGACATGTACACAAGTTTATTACAGGAGAGGCTGACGTTTGGCATCGTGACGTTTGTCGTCGTCAGCCTTTTTTATAATAAATTTGTGGTCACTATTTCAGCAGATCGAAATCCCAGCGACTTCTTGGAAAAAATTGCGGAAAATTCAAAATAAATTAATTTTATCTATTCTTATTTAAAAGGTCTTCACTGATATCCCGCCAGCGTATACATTAGCACAAGCGGAAATACAGTTGCATCATAATCCATAAAAATTAGTACTAATAATACATAATGGGTGGCACAACGCATAATTTATGACATTATTAGTAAAAAGTATAATTATTCATATCGTGAATGATGCCAGTTATTACGAGTCTGTTCATTATTTCCATATGTAGGTTGGTATCTCGAAGTAACTGCTGCGTTTCTCTGCAATGGTAGGTGTCATAATCGTTGCATTGTTCCATATACATACGCCATTTCTCGTCCCTCGTTAAACAAGCGGGGTTGCCGATTATTATTAATTTTGCTTTTGCTCTAGTCAATGCGACATTAAACCTCTGTAACAAAAATGAACACATTAAATTCTATAGCTTTTATCTTTTTATCGTAATCTACTATTACTAAACGTTCACGTTCAAAGTATCTACTTAAAACATATTATCAAAATTAATGAAGTTAAAAGGTATCACGTAATAGTACAATTAATGTACCTACAATAAATATATATGAATGAAAACACGGCAACATTCCTCAATTTATATGTGTTCTGTGAAATTCATACTAATATTGTATAGGAGCGGTAGTGTGTCTGTTTGTTACTATAACACTACAAAACGGGTTAACTACTGAACGGGTCTTAATGTAATAATTGTTTGACATTAAAATAAATTGCAATAAGAAGGGACATTGTCTATCTTAACTCAAAAATGAAGGTGATGAAATGGGATATGAAAGTTTATCATATACTGGTAGTACTAGTGGAAAGCGGGTAACTGATATATGTATGTAGTCTATTCATAAAAATATAAGCAATTCCAAAATATGTGTGTAATGTATGTACTCACCTTCTCGTCAACTAAGAATCCCAGACTATATTTAGCGTCCTGGTCTAACAATTTGCAGTTGGCTCTCACAGTTGAAATTAAAATAACCCTCTTTTCCTTTCCTTGAAAAGATTCTACAGTCCCCACTTCTATGTTGTTGTACTCTTTACACTCTAATAAAGTTTTCATTCTGTTCACCTATAAAAGATATTTGATTCAATATAACGGAAATTAAACTATTCAGTGCGAGTATAAATAGCTCTATGGATATAGAGCACAGTTAAATTAATTTAAAAAATCTGAATTGTATATATTATTTTATTTGTTGTTAAAAAATTATGAATCTCGATTTACATTAAAATCTTTTTATCAATTTATATTTCTTACTAATTCTCAATTTCATTTCTTCAATAAAACAGTAATACCAAATCCATAAATTATTATAAGAGATCGCCCAATATAACGTTGGAGTCAAATATTTGCTTGTCCAATTTGCATTTCAATTGTCGTTTTCACTACGATGTTGACAATTAACAATACCTCTGAGTACCCTGGTTAAAAACACTTATATTTTTTGTAAGTTATATTGTTACTGACCTGTCTTATATAAGGAGAAATAATCCCAATGTCTTCTGGCTGTACGTTGTGTTCATAGATAAGAGCTTTTACGTACTTCATCACAATATTCAGTTCAATTTCGTTGGAGTAACTGCAAAGAAAGTGTAATTTAATTATAAACTGAAAATTTAAATTTTCAATCAGTTGTATACATTTCATATTTATTAAAAGTATATCTAATATTAAAATGCATGCTGATATTATATACCCGCAGTGTGTCTATCTAATTGTTACCTTTTCCAGACTAATGGGATGAACGGATTTTAACGAAAATATGTAGATACATGATATTTTTTTATTTCAAAATAATATGTTGTTCAGGCCACGATAAAATTACTTCAATCGTATTTTTAAGAAAATCTACACATCAGATCTTGATCAAGTTTAATGGGATGACAAAAAAGTCCTACTCATAAAAACTTCTGACGTATTATTCATACAAACATTCGAAGTCGAATTGAAACCTACTCTTTTTTTAGTCGGTTAATAAGTAGACGAAGTCGTGTAGCTTCGTTGCATTATTAATTAATATTTTAATGATGATTGCTTTATTTCCTACAGTAATACAAATAACGACAATAAAGATCGGCATTATTTATTGAAATATAAAAAAAGAATGATGACGCTCTAATTTAGAAATTATAATCACATATTTACAGTTAGTACCTGTACTGTTAACATACCTGGGCTTTCCACCAATTTTGTGCTCTTGAGATTGAACAGCATGGAAGACGATAGATCTGTTGCCTCCAGGAAGTCCCAGTATGCTCACAGAGCTCAAAGGATCAGGTTTTGCGAGTGCCTGAATAAAAAAATATAACTTAATGGATGTAAAGCACCTACATATACGTTAAAGTATCAATATGTTTAAATTTTAATAATAATGCTAATTTTGTAGAACGAACATTTTTTCCAAACCAAACGAGTAAGTTCCGAATGTAGTAGAATAAAAAAAATATGACTATGCAGAAGTACTTATATTATCTAAGTTTATTTGACAAAGTTTATTTCTATTTCTTTTGTTCCATATTACGACAGCAACACATAAATTTTTATTATGGTGTACTTTATTAATAACTTAAAATTTCAATTCTTACCTGCAATCGTTCTTCATAGAATAGAGTATTGGGAATTTTCAGTATATCGGGATCGGAGCGATAATTTTTGATGAGCATTGATGTGAAGTTGGGATCGTTGTCGTAAATGTTCGTGTGCGTGTCTTTTAGTCGCTCCATCAAAGATTTACCTGTAATGAAATGCAAGATATAGATAGATTCCAGAAAGGAAAAATAGTAACAATATATAATTCTTAATTTTCATATACCTATAGTTAAATAAGGAAATTGTTGGTAAGTTTTGAGTTCATTATGAATGAATGTATTATTCTTTTGAATATTCTAACATCATACTATCATGATAAATATAATATCTTGTTATGTGAACAATTAGAAACATGACTGAAAATCCGTTAAATAACATATTTTTATTTGCAAAACTTTCTCCTATAGTGCGAACGATAATGGTTTAGAATATTTATTTGTTAGTTCAGGATGACTGTATCATACCTAATCCCATTCGTTTTGCTTCATAAGAGACGCACACGGGTCCCAGTTGGCGGGTGTCCCCGGCGAGAACCACTTGGCCAGTTGGTGACAGGAGCCCGCATATGGGCACCAATGTCGCAGGCTCTGATGCCTGTGCCGCTTCGTCGATAAACAGATGCGTCATTTCAAGTTTATATATACTCTGACTTTTTTCCCTGGTGAACAAGATAAAGTTAATAAATAACCCTGAATACAATGCCATCTGGTATGTGGAAACGTAAAATATTTTGTCATACATAACAATTCAAATACACTACATAGACAAGACCAATACATACATACATGAAACTATTCCTGAATACAAATATTTGTATTATGCGGAGTTCAAATTCTCTAGTTTTGAAATACTCTTTCATATTGGTCGGTTTTAACCGACCTATATACTAAAAAGAATATTGACTTGATTACTACTACCAATATTATTTAATATAGACTACCTATATTAAATAATATTGGTTCAGTACATCGATAACTATAACTTACGTAGCATATTTGGCGGCGTGGGTGAGTGTCGTCACAAATATCCTGTAGTAGCTGACAGTTTCATTTTTCAAGGAACTAAAACTTTCGAAGCTAGTGCCGTTGGATACAGGCCCCAAGACTGGCGGCATCATACTCCTGTTGAATTATAATTTGTTTTCACAATAACAGGTAATAGCAAGATAATTAAGTATCAACGGGGCGAGAACCGGTGTGTCCATTTCGTATTAATTTAGCTCGTTATAAGGGTTTCATTACCGGAAAGTTAGTCAGGCAAATGAAGTGACTAAAATTTTTTATGTAAAAAATCAATCAATATTTTGAGATATTAATATTTAATATTGTCCTTCATAAAAACTTACCAGTCTCTGCACCGAGAATTGCCGCGTAGAATGAATTTATCGATCTTCATTTTTTTATTATATTCGAGTAGCATTACAGCAATATGATCGGCAGCCATGTTTGAGTGTGTGCATACCATAATACGATTTCGTGGGTTAGCTGATACCAACTGCAACAAGTGAAATAAATTGAACTAAATTTCAACATATACATTATAGTAATAATAAGAACCTACTGTTTTTATTGCTCCAAAATATATTATAGTTTTACTTTTTTTTTTGGTTACCAAGGAACTCGAGAAGAAACACATGAAGATTGCAAATAATATTTTGTCCTATCTACGCTACTACTGAATTTATTTATATGCATTAATCGTCTACTAATCAAAATAAAAATATAATTTATTATCAAAAAATACTGTAAAGTGATTTATTGTTGTGTAAAACAATAATATTTCTCTGTAACCTGTATTAAAAAATCTTTATTAACGCATTTCATGTATAATGTCGTTATGTAGAACTTTCAAAAATCAATTCTTAGCTAATGTTTTCGTACCTGTACAATAGTTTCAACAATGGTCATAGTTTTGCCGGTGCCTGGGGGCCCGACCAAGATGTACGGAACTGTACCGGACGTCCCGGACACAATATGCTCCACTGCAGACCTTTGCTCCTCATTGTCTCTGACTACATTGTTATAAAATCTGAAAAAAATATTTTTACATTAATATTCATTTTTAAAAAGGAAATATTTGATGTTCGTAATGGATGAATTCTGGAAATACTAAATAAAAAGCATAATTAATAAATAATAAAACTGTTACGCTTACCGTGAAATTGTCTTAACCGGTATTGGTATCTTGCTCGGCACGGGGAACACTCGGCAGGCTTGTTTGGTGGTGAACACCTTTGATATTGCGTCGTGCATGCGTTCCATCGGCATACGACTGTACGTGAAGTGGACGTCGAATAGAGTATTCTTAGTGTAGTATCCGTTAAAACTAAATGAAAAGAAATTTTTTATTAAATAGTATAGTGTAAAGTATCTAATATATGTTTCACCTACTTAGAGTAAAATGTGTAGGGTAACAAAGTATATCTAAATGTATCACACCCAAATTTTGAGCTCATAATACATGCATGTTTGTGAGCATTAAATTCATTAAAGCTGCGTCTTATACATATTTACTATTATTATTAGGTATTACAAATTATTAGTTCCTAAAACAATTTTAGATCTTACCTTTTATCGAATCCTGTTAGTAAAACTTCGGTTGTTGTGAAATTCTTGACGAAACATTCAAATACAACATCATTGTTATAACTTGGTCGTATTAGTATTCTGTCACCTAAAAAATTATTGAAATGTGTATTTGCACAAAACATAGATAGTGAAGTTGAAGGATAATGCCATCGATTGTACAAAAATCGTTAATATAGGTACGAGAAAAATATATTTTGTGTCAAATTAATTCTTAAAGCATAATTATTTTTTATAATGCTACAAATGGGGAACTTATTTTATAAAAGTAATATGGTGTTAATTTTAATTTTCTTACCGCGTATTACAGACGGACTTCGTTCTGGTAATCCGTCCACTTCGACTAGATAACAGTCGTTTCCATTCATTTTACTTATTGTTGTTTTCGCTATGGTGTATTGCTGAAAAGAAACATTATGGCTTTATTGGAGCTATAGTAATATTCATAATATTCTTTAAATAAATCCAAAACAATAGGAAGTTAAAATTAATTTCTGTTATAAAGATTGGTAATTTACCTTAAGATTCTGTGTAGCAATAGATTCTTCCCACCAAAGTAAATGATGAAAATATGCCATATAATTAAATCTTGTTATGCCTTCTTCAAATATAGATCTGGAAACAAAATATACAATAAATGTAAAGGTACAAAGAACCTTGACCCAGTTTATTTCTTTTATGCATCTGACTTGGTGTCAAGCTTATGCACCTAAGCTATGCTGTAATATTGAAACTCGTAATCTATATCAATTTATAATTGGTATACATACCTTGTGGTCGCAAGCACCCTTTTCAACTTCTCAATCAAATCTGAAGGTATTTCTGGATCGTCCAAAATACTATTTTTGAGATCACGAGGCAGAAGAATTTTCAATAATTTTGGAATTTTGAAGATGTTTTGATGAGTCCTAAAAAGATCGATGCATTAAAAATATGCATAATTTTTATTAGTTATATATATAAGAATCATTGATATTACCAGATATATACCTTAGTCAGGTATCGTGCTGAAATTAGTGACGTTATTTATTATATATATAATTTCTTCTAAATTATATAGATAATTAATAAACGTTCATGAAATACTAAAAATAAATAAGAAGACATGGAGTTTATTAAATGACAATTATACTTACGTCATCTGAAGCGGAGATCTGATAAAATGCTCAGCACTAGTCCACAGCGCCGGCTGTTGGACCTGAGTAATTCCATCTTTCTCTAATTCTGATAGAGGGTTTTCTGTCACTTTCACAATCTACGGAAACAATTTGTATAAGAAATAATATTAGGTACTAATAGGAAATGTATAATTAAATACAAAACAAGTATTTAAGTTATGTCATATTTTATTAATATCTACATATCTATTGAACTTAAGTTTAGGTTAAGTGTTATAATATAAATTAATGGTCCTAATATTTTTAATTAGTCAAGAAAATATTTTTAGTACATATATACATTAATATATTATATTATGATTTCAAAATATTTTATCGGTAACATAAATAAAAAAAAAGTGTATTACCATTTCTCTAACAATAATCAAATTCTTGGATTCGCTTTCTTTGGCAAAGGTAAATATTATGGGCATCTCATAATGGCCGATGTCCATTGATTCAAATGTAACCACAACTGTTCCATCAAGAATCGTTCCTGTAATACATATAATAATGTAAAATATGTCAAACAATGTAACTTCGTTGGCTTTATTACGTTATTTGATCATATTTTTATAATTTATTATAGACCTTGAGCAATTGAATTTCATTATAATCGGTTTCTTAGTTCGATTATATTTCTGTGTTAAATTTTTAACAAAATTACTTTTTCAATAGTATTTATTCCGTTATCTATTTAATCTTGGCTATACCAAGAAATATTAAAAAGTAATTCCTACGGAAACTATGACTTATGTTTGAATAATGATTTCATTTTTGTAAGCATAGAGCACTTTTATTTTATATAGGTACTTACCAGGTTGTAAAAGTACTGGATCTTCACCAAATACAAAAGGGTGATCGTTTATTTCAAATTGCGGTTGAGGATGAGCTAGTAACGCTCCCATGACAAACACGCTGCCATTATTTACGTCGTTGGCAACGCTGAATGAGAATTGTACGCGTTGCTTAGGCTTAACCTGAAATTTATTGTTATCTGTTACTGTAACAACATTTATTAGAAAATCATAACAAAATATTCATAAATAATCCTTGTAACAAAGGAACATTTAAGAACTACCTATCTCAAGAATTTGATTGGTTTGAGTTAAAATAATTAAATTTAAAATTAATTTATTAATTTATAATCGAACAGATAAAATTTTAGACATCGTAGGACATAGAGTAATGGAATAACAAATTGCAATAAAAGAAAAGTCTTAAGATGCAAGACTTCGTATCTCTATATAGTTGAAGTATTACAAATATTGTGCTGTCATACTTGGTTCCTAATCATAGACATTTTAATATATATATTATCTTAGTACTTACAAATATTTGAATGTTTTGTTCATCAGTTCTCCAAATATCAGATTCTTCTCCATCGCCTGTTGGCTTGCTGTGAGCAGAACAAAATACGTAGACGCCTTTCCTATTTGAAGTGTAATATTTCCTGTGAAAATATTATATATTTTAACTAAAATATAATAACATATCTAGCAATAACAAAAATCTTGTTAAAATATATTACATATAATTTAACAAGATTTTTGTTATAGGTTTTTTCATGTCATTGTGGCTGCTTTGCCTGAATAATCCCATTTCATTTTCAGCACTCAAAGAAAATTAAATCATATTTAAAGTTTATAACCCAAAATAGTCTCTTTAATAAATTGGATAAACTTTCCACTCCGTATAAACTCTATCTACACAATTATAGATATATATAAATAGGTATAACAAAAAAACTGTTAATTAAAGGCAGCCGTTCTAAAGTAATTTGCTTATATGTATTCCTCATCTGATTTTAATTTACCTATATATTTGTAACATATAGAACAGTATGTAACGTAAGTCAAGCAAAATAAAATCAAAGTGAACTTACTCGCTGCTTTTAAAGTTAGCGAGCTCCAAGTTGCAGACGTGCTTCGGAGTAAATCTATGATTAACAACTGATTCTTCATTATAATACTCATCAACCCAACCGCACACTTTGCAAAGCATTGTTTCTGAAAAGAATTTTCTATTTTAGATATTGTACCTTTCCTACCTACGCGGCTAGTTATTAGGCACTGGATTTAACTAAACGACATCAAAAGTTTTGAATTTGATTGGTGCTTTTTAACTGATTCCACGATGCAAAGGAAATAATGTGTTTCTCTGTAGGTATATACATATATTGTTCAAGTACTTTGTGGCGCTATTGAGAATATATTTAATCTTGCAAGTAATCGGTATTCAGAATAGCGACCACCAGATGCCAGTGCCACATCCAACTTATACATAAAAATAACACTAAGATAATGTAAGGCGAGATTATTTCATTTAAATAAGTATATAATAAGTTCTAAGAAAATACGGCATCAAATCATAAATCTAACTTTTATGTAGAAGCCATTATAAAAATATACTAAGCTGTACATTTTTTCAATTTCTATACGATAGATTACAATACTGTAAAGCAGGTATAGGTATATATTAAATATACTAAAGTAAGCAAGATAAAAACTTCCTTTTTTATTAGTAGTTTAACTAAGTACCTACTAAAAAGTATTCTATTTTCATTAATGTTTTAGATATCTTTAATATCATACTAAAATGTAAATGTCGTGGTTTTATAAGGATTAAGTGTTATGTAAGCTACTTTCATCAATGCTTTTTTTGCATCAATGATTTTTGGGAAGTACACTATGTTTGAATAAGTAATGCCCATCCAATTTATTGTCTATTACTTATTATTAAGATTTTAAGCACTTAAATAATATGTGTAAGTTTTGCTTGGGCCAAATCATACTTATGTCAAAACAATTATTATGTATATAGGTATATCCTAATAACTTTATAATAATAACTTTAGAATGAAACGGCTTTATCTAGGATAAATAAGTACCTATATAGGTACTGTAATATCTAGTGAATATCCTAAACCAATATATCTATGTCTTATATGAATAAACTGAATAGAGTAAATTATTAATTAACTTAGAAGATTGCTTAAATGCAGATATTTTTGATTACGTATATGTGTAATTAATAATTTAAAGTGCATACCTGTATAACTTATAATCACTGATATCACGGAGTAACTGTATTTTACAACTCGTCCTTAACTATTAATAAATTCGTAAAAAATAAACGGTAAACTCAACGACTACTGTTAACCGAGAAGGCGAGGGTGGAACTGTGGGGTTGTAAAAAGGAAGTGTTAACTTTATACGTTTCGTCTGTAGCTTGCAGGTAGAACCTAGTCCGGCCAGGGAGTGGTAGGTTGGGGGCGTGGCCTGCTTATGTGTGCCCTTTTGTTGTATATCATTAGCCACATTACAATTTATATTAGGTAAATATATGTATTATATATATAATACTATTCTTTAATATAAAACATGAAATAAATAATACTCTGAGTAGGTACCTAAATATGAATAAAGTGCAACCAACTAATTTTCGAATGCAAAAGAATTACAAACGTTAATTTTACTGTTTGTCTATACGTTTTGACTGTACAATTACGCGATAGGTTTGTCATAAATACGGTTGACGAAACTTAGAAAAATGAAACTTAATCGAAGTATTTAATATCGCGTTATAACTTCAATACAAGTAAATGTAATAGATACTATAGCTTATAGTCATTATGAGGCAAGCTGAACTTGTAGGAAGTAGAGTAGGTAGTACCTAGTCTACTTCTTACAATTTTATATCATATATCCATAAATAATCAGATACGTTATTTTGTTTAAAAAACCAACAGTGTTTTTAAAATTGTTAACAATAAATACGTTCAATTTAATAAATAATTGTTAACTATACTAACTACAAAAAGACAGACAGACCGACTCTATTTAATCTCTATACTTTTTACATCCATATACCTACCTACATTTCGTTCTACGTAGAACAGCCATGTTGGGAACAAAATTACCCTAGTTTCAACACAAAAGTAATTTGTATTGCCAATTATTGATAGAAACGGTACAGAATTAGAGAATCTTATACAAAATTGATACGAGCATAAAAATAGGTACATATTATTGATTTAGGTGATAACAAGAATTTATTATTATGCATGTCCTACGATACGTGAGTTAGTAACTGCAACTATTAAATAGTTTATATACCTACTAATCATAATCGAGAAACTGTAAATTTTATTATATTTCAATAAGAATTCTTTGGTACCGCTCTAGATCACTAAACACTTGGTAAAAACAGTAATTTAGTATCGAACTAATGTCATCAAACTAATCCTTGCTATCCACTTAAGTAATGGCAATTACAATTACCTACCTATTCTATTATAATAATAATAATCCTTTACCTACTCAATGCAATAACAATTGTGTTAATAAAAAAATGCCAAAAATTCTATGAATTAATGAGTTAATGACCATTATCCGTTATCTATCACAATTTAAACAAACAATAAACTTGGCGACTAAAATTGCCATTCTTAATAGCTATTCTATTCATTTAAAATCACTCAATATGTAGAAAATTCGATAGACATATGTAAATATGAACCATGCTAGTGGAAGTAGTAGAATTGTAATATATGTTTGTCACGTTTAATATAGGGACCTATTTTGAAAGAATACTTATTATTAGATGTATATAATATAAGAATAATAATAATAATACACGTCGCACATCAAAAACTACAACTTATACGTCTACGCTACGTCTTTAAATTATAATAAAGAAATTGTTTTAATTAATCCAGTAGTGTTTTATGTGTATAATATGTTAAAACAAATACTTAAGTCTAAATATTATATAGAGTATATGGACATTTTAAATATACTAATCATGTCTCAGAAATAAATTTTCACCACAATCTCTACAGCTTATGGTACCAAACAACTGATAGAAATACTCAAATAGGTACATTCATTTATAAATTAATAAATGTTCATTCATACTTATCAATGCAAAAGTATCTTCTAATATATAAAATACTCGTATCACAGTGTTTCTAATAAAATTCCTCCGAAAAGGGTTGCCCGAATGTAATGAAATTTTGTCTGTAGTCAGTAGGTCTGAGATTAGGACTTAATATGTGACTATTTATCATACCCCTAAGCGAGTTTCAGTATTAAAGAGTGGCTCTGCAATAAGTACCCAGTAACTTTAGGTTCAACATATCTAATATATGACTAAACGGCAGAGTACCTACAAAATTATTATTCGGTTTAGAGATTGCTTAAATAATATTAGTGCCTTATATAATAAAAGTAAGTGCCAAACACATACCTGTTTAACAAATAATCACTGGTATCACGAAGTAACTAAAAGAATTTCACAACTTCTATTAACCACTTATAAAATATTCAGTAAACTCAACGACTTCTATTAACCAAGAAGGTGAGGGTGAAACTGTGGGGTTGTAGATGAAAGTGTCAATTTTATACGCTTCCGTCTGTAGCCTGCAGGTAGAGCCTGGTCCAGCCAGGGAGGGGTGGGTTGGGGGTGTGGCCTGGTTATGTATACTTGTACTGCTGCCATCCCATTGGCCATATTATTAATATGTAAATTAATTTTACTATTTTTTTAAATAAATTCATGTATGTATATAACGGGCTATACAACACTAAAATAATTTTCAAAATCGGTTCAGTAAATCCAATAATCACCCTCACAAACATTACTTCTTTATAATATTAGTATTAGTAAAATATACAGATAAATATTACATACTGAGTAGATCTAGTCCTTTATAATATTATAAATACAAAAGTAACGCTGTCTGTCTGTCGCGTTTTCACACCAAACCTACTAAACCGATTTAATAAAAATTTGTTACGCAGATCGTCTATACCCTGAGATAGTACATACGCTACTTTTTAATGCGAAAAAAGTGGTTAAAAGAATAGATGAAATCATAGAATGGCATTGCATAGAAGTATCATCATTTTGAAATCTAAAAACTTTAAATTTATTTTTTATGCTGTTGATTAAATAGATATAATATGACATTGAATGTTTGTATGAAATTCGTCATTTTAGAAGCTAGAACGAAATATCATCTTTTTAGCTTTTTGGGTTAGATTATTAATTAAGTACTACTTATCATACTTATGTACCTACTTATTTATACGTAAGGTATGTGTCTTACCGCCGCGCCGTCTGCCTAGGTATATGTTTTGTGACTAGATATAAATAAAAGATATCACGTAGGTAAAACTTTGCATAATTTTATACCTATTTTAATTAGTCTTTTGTAATAAATATACAGTTTACTACTGTTATTCAAATGTCGATATTTAAGTTACTTGACAAAGCATAATTTACCTATCGGTATATTTAATACATCCATACTAATATTATAAACGCCAAATTGTACCTAAGTACCTATGTTTAATTATCTGTCTGTTTGGAGTTGTTTCGTTTTAGTTGTTATCATATAGAAAATAAGCCATATACCTATAGAGTATATGGGTATAGAAAATAGATATATACTTTTATGATATCAAATTAAAAAGAAAGATATTCTTTGTTAATTAAATGGTTAGGTAAGTGAATAGAATTACCATTACACAGTCAAAAACGTCAGTTAGGTTTGGCTGTGTGATGGACATTCTACATGTAAGTAACTTCACACAATAATAGGTTCCTATGTGTAAAATAAAATTTGGAGTTACTTACCTAAATGTTACTTACAGTAGTCTAAATAAATATTCGAAAAGAAATATTTTTCTTAAGTACCTACCTACCTACTTATCAACTGAGACGAAATTAATTTGCAACCGACTACACGGACTTTAATTTTATCTACTTACAAAATTAATCATCGAAACGGTTCAGATTTGAGAATACTAGGTACTGATAGGAGCATGAAATTCTGTCGATTTTTTATAAGCATTACATGATCACAACGCTTTGTGATTATTTACGCGAGATATTTTAATTCGAGAATGCTACTACTGCAACTGTCAAAAAGTGCATGAAATCATAATCTAGAAGCTATTAATTTTATTCTAAGTATTTCTATTCGTAACGATGCATTTTCTTTTTACAATTAATTATCTGGAAGAAATAGTATCTACCTGTTTAGATTTTGTAAATAATATAGGTATCTACTTACTTAGCCTTATCGTTGCTATTCAATAATAAGTAATGACAATAACAATAGTTCTTTCATTGTAACGATAACAATCCTTTTGCCTTTTCAATTAAAAAAACAATTGTAAAAAAGAAATGCCGCCAAATTGTATGAAATATGTACTAAGTTAATGACTGTTATCTGTCATCTCTAAACAATGAGTTTGTGGCCG